TTCCTCCTCCTCTTCACTCTCGTACACAACTTCCACGTCGGCCATGTTCTTACCTTCAATCACCTTAAGCTTCTCCCCCTCCATGATTTTCCATCTATCACTTTCTTTCTTGCTCTTTCTTTTGGTCCGCGCAACAACCGCCTCGGCTTTTGCCCCATCTCTGTCATCAACAACTTTAACTTCCACCGCTGTAGCTTCTACAACTTTCCGCTTAGGTGCTGCCCTTTTCTTCTTCGGTTTTTCAAGGGGCTGTTCATCCGAGTCCCTGGGAGAAGCTGCTGCCGATGCTCGAGATTGTCGCTTCGTAACTTTCGGAGTCACAGCTTCTTCTTCTTGCTTGGGTTGAGCCGAAGGATCATCAGCCTTCTTCCGACGTCTCGGCTTGGGCTTGGGTGTCTCAGAAGCGTCAGCACCGCTACATCGTATAACCAGCGGTCTTCGAAATCCACCTCGGAGAAGGCTCTACAAATGAAAAACGCCACAAAACCAAAACTGAAATAGAAAGGAAAATGTAGTGTACCGTGGAGAAGCTTAGTCTCAAACGTGGAAGAGAGTAGTGGCCAATGAGCTCTGGAATCTCCAGAATTAGACGAAATCTCGTTCTTCAATGCTGCCTACCACCACTCACCTGAGCGCCAAGTGCCTGTGCTCACAATGCCAGCTACTGCCGCCATGCTCCCTCGCTAAAACCATCCATAAACCCTAGCGCACGACCCGTCCTTAGATTATAGAGCAACTTAATTCTTCTTACCTCATGTTCGTGCATGCATAATCTCCGCATTGTCCAGGAACTTGGATCTCAGATCCAGCAATGCGCCAAAACGCGATCGCTGCTCCAGGGCAAGGAGCTCCACCGCGAAGTCCACAAGAATGGCTATGGCGCTCACACATTCGTCGCGAATTCTCTGATCCAGATGTATGGCAGCTGCCAGTGCCTGCAAGAAGCCCGATCAATCTTCCACAGCACCCGCAATCGAAATATTTACTCGTGGACAATCTTTCTTGTCGCCAGTGCCGAGAATGGGGATCTCGATCACGCCAAGATTGTCTTCAACAGGATGCCGGCTCGAAATCTTGCATCCTGGAACGCTCTCATCGCTGCCTGCGCGCGAAACGATCAGTGCCAAGACGCATTGGAGATTTTCTACCGGATGAGCCTGCAGGGAGAGCGTCCAGACGATCTTACCTTCGTCAGCGCGATCGATTCTTGCGGGATCTTGCGATCATTGCGAGATGGGAAGCTGCTCCACGAGCAAACCCTCGAGGCCGGCCTTGTCCACAACACCGCGGTAGCGAACACGCTGATCACAATGTACGGGAAATGCCAGCGTCTGGACAGCGCTTGGAGCGTCTTCGCGGACATCCCCAATCCAGACGTTGTCTCTTGGACAAGCATCGCCACAGCATTTGCCAGGAACGGATATTTCGATCGATCGCTGGAGCTCTTCCAAGAAATGCCCGTGGCGAAGAATGTCGTCTGCTGGAGCGCGATCATCACCGCCGCGGCGCGATGCGATCGACACAGCGCAGCATTCCAGCTCTTCCAGGCGATGGATCAGGAAGGCGCAAGACCTAATACTCTGATCTATTTGACGCTCCTCCAGGGAAGCCATTCCACCTCTACGATTAGGGCGATACACTGTACGGCCGAAGAGGACGAAGAACTGGCCAGGGATTCGAACCCCGCCGTGATGAACGCCGTACTCTCTGCGTACGGCAGGTACGGAGACCTGGCCAGATCTTGGGCCGTGTTCTCGCGGATGGAAAGAAGAGATCCAATCACCTGGAATTCAATCGCGACTGCTTGTGCGCAATCTGGAGATTTCGATGGAGCGATGCGTGCGCTCGAGAGAATGCCGCAGTGGGAGATTTCGTCGTGGAACATAGGCATCGCGGCAATTGCCAAGGGTGGCGCGACGGCGTCGGCGATCTCTTTCTCTTTCCGGATAAATCTCGAGGGAATCAAGCCCGACGGCGCCACATTCATCGCGCTGATCGATTCATGCGCATCGCCCAATTCGCTGCCGGATGCCAAGAGGATCGCGTCGTGGATCGGCGACAGCGAATTCTGGTCGGATCCGCGGCTCCGGGACGCCACGATCGACATGTTTGGCCGATGCGACGACCTCGACACCGCCAGGGCGATTTTCCTTGAGAATCCAACCAGCGCCACGGGGTGGGCGAAGATGGTCGCGAATTGCGCCCGAAATGGGGACTCCCGGACAGCGATCAATCTCTTCAAGCAAATGGATCTCGAGGGAGTCAAGCCGATCGCTCTCGCATTCGTGGGCGCGATTGCGGCGTGCTCCAATTCCGCGGCGCTGGGCGAGGGCGAGGCAATCCACGCGTGTTTCGAGGAGGAAGAACACGCAGACCGCGAAACAGAGCATGGCCCAAGTACGGGCATGGTCCACAACGCGGCCATCCACATGTACGGCCGCTGTGGATCCTTGGGCCGGGCAGATTCCCTCTTTCGATCGCTGCGCCGCCAGAGCGTCGTGTCGTGGACTTCCATCATCAGGGCTTTCGCGAGCAACGGGCGCGTGGATCTAGGGTTTCGCCTCTTCCGCGAGATGCAGCTCCAGGGGACGCCACCCAGCGCGGTCACCATGGCGGAGCTCCAATCCGCCTGTGCCCATCTCGGCCTCCTGCGCGATGGATTGGACTCGCTCGCGTCTATGCTGCTCGATCACGGCATCGCGCCCACCGCCGAGAACTACGCCTGCATTGCCGATCTGCTCCGCCGATCGAAGGCCCAGGAAGACGAGGACGGGGAACTCTAGCGCCAGGGCCAGGATCGAACCCTGGCAGGGGAGTTATCATGATTGAATACACATCACATCAGCTTGAAATGGACTCGAGAATGAGAACCACAGATCGGTATGACGCTATGACACGATTGACGTGAGCAATTGGCTTTATATCTTATTCCCGGGGCACATGAACAAAACACATTGGAAACCATTTTTTCTTTCAAAAAAAAAAACAAAAAAAAGAGAGGAGAATATCCGGCCTTTGGGCGGGAGAATATCCAACGAGAAGAAGTGTACGGGACACCTACCGTACACGCCAATAAATGCCTCGTCAACTGACGGGGCGTCGAATGACGGGCGCCTCTCCCTAGGGCATATTTCACTGACACGACAACGGCCCTTGGATTTACCGGTCCAGAGATACACCGGCGAGGTTTCCCTTCGGTAAAAAGTAAATTACCTCCATTGCCATGGATCAATCAATGATAATCGAAGAGCGTTCATGGAGGTAAAAAGGCCGTTGGAAAGGTTTCCAACAAAATATAAGGTGGCAAAAGGCTGGCAGTTGCAACCCTTCCGTACGGTTCTTCAAACCCGCCATGCAAAAGAAAAGAGAGAAAAGGTGACGCAGAACATTCATATATCATAAAGGGAAGCGAAGAATTAGGGTTCCCTGCGCAATCCAGTGTCGCTTTTGTACTTTTCTAGAAGGGCCAATGCGTTGGAATGGGTTGGATTCTTCGAAGTAAAAGGAGCGATTAAAATTGGAAATTTCACCGCCAAGGGAGCGTGAGAGTGAGGCCCTTCTTCTACATCGCCCGCAAAGATACCTTCCAAGCTCGTGTTTTTGTCATTGATACAACTAGATTCCACGGGCATATGCCGCACCGGGAAACATTCCCCCCACTACCGTACGGATGTACCCGGCGACGGGCGGTGACGGGTGGTAACGGGCGTCGGCGGCGGGAAAACCCTAACCGGCCACCGGGAAATGCCACCGGTAACATTAACTTGCTCTGTTCTTTTGCTTTGGCCCTTGGAATTTTTTTTTTTCTTCTCTCGTGGCATTTTGGAGGACACGAAAACACAGTGGCGAGCTCCAAATCTCTGCTTCTCCGGAGGATCGCGTCTATTTTCTCGCAAACAAGAGAGAGAGCGAGAGAGAGAGAAGGAAGAGCTCTCGCGAAAGGGAGAGAGAGTTTTTCTTCCTTCCTTGTCTCGCCCTTTTTCCCCCTTGTGATCCCCCCATTCCATTCCATTCTCTCTCTCTCTCGGAGCCTCGGATCCGCGGTTGAATCTCCGGCGGGCACTGGGATTCGCGCGAGAGAGCAGTGAGATTCGCGGGCGGGCGAGGCATTGGGCATCTGGGTCGCGCGAGGAATTGGAGGAGCAAGCTAGAGGGCTTCCCTCTCATGGGTTGCTTGTGCCAGGCGCTCACTCCCAGGTAAGCCATAGCAGCAAGGCAAGGAGGAGCCGCGCGAGCGAGGCAAGCGATGCGAGAGAGGGAGCCAGGTATGGCGGCATTGGAGCCGCCGCGGCATCGTCTCTCCTCCTCCGCCACCGTGATCACACCATGACGACGCCGCCGCTGGAATGCCAATGCTGATGAATCCCAGCTCGCCGCCAATGTGAGCGGAATCGCCCCGCAGCTCCTCCGCCAGCCCCCAATCTCGTCGATGCCTCCGCCGCCGGGATTCCCCGTGGGATAGGGATTTGTCCTAGGCTCCTCCTCGCCGCCGCCGCGCGCCTCCTCTCCTGGCTCTACTGGGTTCCTTCTCCTCTCTATCCAGGCGGCCTGGCTCTAGACCAGTACCTAGAGAACCGCCGGCTGGCGGTACCGCCGCCCGCCGCCAGCGGCATAAGGCCCTCGCCTGGCGGTATACCGCGCGGTACGCCGTCCTCACAGTTTGGGATCCTAGCCAACTTATCAAACTTGTCCTCTTCGGGTGGAGCTTTCCATAGCGGCAGCAATCCTTCTCCCAGCTCGCTAAATTATGCGCTGCTTGGATCCAGCGTAGATGTTCTCAGCCCAACTTCTTCCTCCGGGAACCTTGGAAATAATCCATCCGCCGCCGCCGCCACCACCACCTCGAGCGCGAGTTTGCTGAGGAGTTCCTCGTCGAGGCTCGAGCATGATCCGGGGCTGGCCAACTTCCAGCCTCCAATGCAGCTGGTTTCCAGCGCTGCGCAGGAGCAAGCCAGCGGCGGGGCGGTGGTGGGAGGTGGCGGCGGGGGTGGCGGAAGCGGTGGTGGTGGTGGTGGCGGTAATAATGGTACGTCGACGATCACCACCATGCAAGACCATCACCAGGCGGCGATGGCGGCTGGGGGAGTGAAGTTGGAACCGGTGGAGCCGCAGACTCATCATCTCCACCAGCAAATGCTACAGTCGCAGCATCACCACCAACAGCAAAACAGCGTTTTGATCCCGAAAGTGGAGGTGAAGCTCGAGGAGGAGCTCCACCAGCAGATGCTCCAGCAGCAGCAAGCCCGGCAGCAGCAGCAGCAGCTCCAGGCTCATCTCAGCCTCCTCAACCAGCAGAGATTGCTCAAGCACCACCAGCAGCAGCTGCTGCAATCGCTGCCTCAGAACCAGTCTCATCTCCACCAGCGCCAGCAGCACCTCCAGCACTTGCAACAGCAGCAGCAACAGCAGCAGCTCCAGCATTTGCAGCAGCAGCAACAGCAGCAGCAGCAGCAGCAGCTCCACCAGCAGAACCAAAGCTTCGTCGCGAGTTCTTCCTCATCGAGCAACGCCCCTCCGCCGCAGCACCTCCTGGCTCTTCAGCTTAAGCAAGTCTACGAGCCTGGCTCTTGCTCGCGCCGTGTCATGCAGTATATCTATCACCAAAGGCATCGGCCTCAGGTACTCCACTCTCTTTCTCGCGGAGTTCCACAAACTCGGCAAGCTTTTGCAGGACAATAGCATAACGTTTTGGAGGAGATTCATCGCGGAGTACTTTGCCCCCCGTGCGAAGAAGCGCTGGTGTGTTTCTTTGTACGGGAATGGGAACAATGGCCGCCAGCCAACTGGTGTCTTCCCTCAGGTGAAAACTCTCAGGAGAATACTTCTTGACGTGACAAAACTCTGTTGGTTTCTCTCAGGACGTTTGGCAATGTGAAATCTGTGGAACAAAACCGGGTCGAGGCTTTGGTGAGTTCTTTCCTTGCTTATGTGTTTTGGAGTGTTTGTGATTTTCGTTCTTGTTCTAGAGACGACTGTGGAGGTTTTGCCACGGCTTTGCAAAATCAAGTATGACAGTGGCATCCTCGAGGAGCTCCTGTTCGTGGACATGCCTCACGAGTACCGCTTGGCGTCGGGGGTCATCGTTTTAGAGTATGGGAAAGCCATTCAAGAGAGCATCTTTGATCAATTGCGTGTTGTGCGGGATGGTCAGCTCCGGATAATCTTCTCTCCTGATCTCAAGGTAAGACAGAAGAACAAATGAAAACAAACATTGAGAGGTGTAGTTATACTTGAATTGTTTTTCTTCTTGACAGATACACTCTTGGGAATTTTGTGCAAGGAGTCATGAAGAACTGCTTCCTCGAAGAATGATAGTTCCACAGGTTGACTTCTTCTTTCTTTGTAATCCGGGGTTCAAAGTTTTCGACTTGCAGGTGACCCAGCTGGCCACCGTCGCACAAAAGTACCAACAAAGTGTCGCGCAAACGGGAACTGCTGGACTATCGTCACAGGACCTACAAACAAATTGTAGCATGTGAGAAATTTTTTTCTCTTCCTTATGTTTGTGGTTTTTCATCCTTTATTCTTTCAGGTTTGTAACAAGCTCGCGAAATCTTGCAAGAAACTTGGAAGTTCCGACGGTAAATGACCTTGGCTATACGAAGAGATACGTTAGGTGTCTTCAGGTAAACTTTTGTATTTTCAATGTACGAAACTATATGAGAACTCGGGTTTTTTTGTTCAGATATCAGAGGTAGTAAACAGTATGAAAGATTTGATTGACTTCAGTCGAGAAAACTCTATGGGACCCAAGGGTACTTCCTACTTTCATAGATTGATTTTTACCTGTGACGATTGATTTTGGTTATCGCAGCGAGCTTGGAGATTTTTCCTCGTCGGACAAGCCTTGGGGGTGCCTCGACTACTATGGCTAATGGAAATCACCAGCAGCAGCAGCAGCAAACTTTGCTCCTCCAGCAACATCAACAGCAGCAGCATCAGCAGCAGCATCAGCAACAGCAACAGCAACAATTGCAGCCGCAGGAGTTGCAAATCTCGTCAACTTCTCAAGAACACGATCACCAACATCAACTCATGAGCTCCTCCACCATTGCTCCGCCGAGACAACAACATAATCATCAACAACAACAACAACATCACGCACACCAACACCAACACCAATATCAATTCCAACACCAACAGCAGCAACTAGGAACTTCTTTACAGGGCCTTCTCGGCTCATTCCCTTCTCTACTCCACCAGCATCAGCAGCAGCAGCAGCAGCAGCAGCAAAGTAACAGCGCTACGATATCTCCAGCTTCATCGCTCATCATCCCCAAGAACACCACCACCACCGCCAACAACAACAGCTTCCAGGCCGCGCAGATCCTCACGAGCAGCAGCAATCTCCAGAGCCCAACGAGCTCCGGAAACTTGATGAGCTCTCCTCCGGCAATAATGGGCAGTAACAGCGCCTCGATGCTCCAGCAGCAACCTAGCAGCCAGCAGCACCAGCAGCAGGATAGCGTCGTCCATCAGCTCTTGCAAGAGATGATGATGAACGCTGGGAGCAGCGGGATGATCTCGCCAGGGAATAGTTTGAGCCACGGCGTTGGGAACGTAAACGGTTTTGGAGCCTCGGTGCTGGAGAGCACGTCCAACTTGGGGATGGGCATGAGAAGTACACAGCAGCAAAAGAGTTTGTATATGAGTTCTTCGCAAGATCACGGTGGAGGAGTCCATGACCTAGCCGAGAACGGGATATTGAGCAGTTTGGGAGCGGCAAATGGTTTTGCAAGCTTGCCGTTCGACTGGAAATCGCCGTGAGATAGCTGTAATACAAAGAGGTAAAAGGTAATAGCAGCGAAAAGCTGAGGGAGCCAGAGAGAGAAAGGATCTTCCCCTGTGAAAGAGAGACAGATTGATCGTAATTGTCAAAGTGTTCCAACATAGATAGTATTCCAACTCTACTACTAACATAATCATTGTTTCAAATGAAACAGAGTCCAAAAAATTTGTTATCTTTATTATCAAGAAATCAAAAAGTAAAATGATAGGAAAGAGGGATCAATTTTTAATGTTATACTTTATTTAATACATAAAATTTAAAATTTAAAATAATAGTCTCTTTCAAATGTATGTGATAATGTTTAATTGGGAGTAGTTCATTTTGGAAAATTTAAATATTTATCATATTAACATAAAACCCATTAAATTTTTACATTATAAATATTTACATTATTAATTATTATATCAAAACTAATGTTATATTCTTTTATTGATAAGATATTATACATTAATTAAAATCATTTTAAAATATTTTTGCCTTTTGGTTCATTCCAAGTCATCATTCTTTTATTCACCATAGTATTCAATTGTACCTTCATTCTTAAAATTTAGACAAAATAAATTTATTTTATTTAATAATTATTATTTTAAAAATATATAAATTTAGAAATATAAATGTTTATTATATTTTTATATAAGTATTTTCGTTATTAACTCAATCTAAAGTGTTATAACCTTGAATAATGTTTAAAAATTGTGTTAATTTGTAATTGTGGAGTTGAAAAATAAATAAAGTATTACAGCATAATAATACATTAACAGTATTAATGATATTGGTTTTTGTTTTGTACTTTTCCACTTAAAAAAACTACTATATATTTATTGTGTCTTTCTTATAAATATTTATTGTAAATTTATTTTTAATATTTTTAATACAATTTGATGTAGACTTTTAAAAGTATAAAAGTATTCATAAAACAATTTATAGATACTAAAATTTTAATGTATATATACTTAATATTTAAATTTTGGTAAGGTCTCAAAACTTACTAAATATGGAATGGCACTAGATTGCATATTTGGGCATGGGACGAACACCATTGTGTTCAAGACAATTTCTATATTTCGTAAACATGCCAAAATAGTAAATCTAAATCTATGGTCATAAAAGTTGACTAAAGGGAAGATACAAAAGTAAGTTATATTGATGGTCATGAGTCTAAATTAACAATAATATCAGAGAAGACTTAGAAATAAAATGTATTATTTACTAGAATGGTGCTTTATAAGTTGTTGTGGCCTTTAATGTTCTTTGTTTAGGTTTAAAATTATGAATTTAAAATTGGTTTAAGCATTTAGAAGTTGCACACATAGTTACAATTAATTCATCAAAATTTCATAATTAACTGATGTTAGTGCCATAGTTTTTGATTTTGGTTTTATCATGGTTATCACGAATTATGTTGGTTGTGTTATAGGGGTTTTTAATTCTTGTGACAATTTATAATTCCCCAGTAAAATATTTAAATGTTCTACTTGACTTTTTGTCATCACTTTTTCATCTTCCCAAAGGAAGGATAATGTATATATATATATATATATATATATATATATATATATATATATATATATATATATATATATATATATATATATATATATATATATATATATATATATATATATATATATATATATATATATATACATATATACATACATATATATATACATATATATATATATATATATACACATATATATATATACACACACACACATATACATATATATATATATATATATATATATATATATATATATATATATATATATATATATATATATATATATATATATATATATATATATATATATATATATATATATATGTATGTATTACTCTAATTATAATACTATAGCATATATATGGGAATGAATGTGATCCATCCATTTTTGTATATAAGTAGGGATTTAAACCCATATCCTGAGCACTCACATTCTGAAATTAAATTGAAAATATGATATACAATAAAAATTCTTGTATTAAATTTAAACCACATATGATAAGAATCTTTATAAATGAAGTGGTCTAAAAGTAAATGATCCTAATTTAATATTTATATTTCACATGCTCCATATTGTTTTATATTCTAAGAATTAGAAGAAAATTTAAAAGAATCTATCTTGAGATTTTATGTTTGGTAAGAATTACATTAAGTGCTAATCTTCACTTAGAACTTCAGGATGCACTAATATTAATGCCGAAATTATGAGCAAAGTTTTATGAAAGAAAAAAAAGCAAAAGGTTAAAGAAATGCTATTAACTAATGCTGTGGGACTGCATTCATTCGTGGAGATGGTGGAGTGAGATCTTTGTTTGGAACTAGACTAATAGTCAGAACTTGAAGAGCAACAAACAACTGCAAGAACCACTTTACCTATAATTAGTTGCCTTGGATCTTCACATAAAGCACACTTTGTGTATACAAAATTCTATATTGTTCTATCCTTGAGGAAGGGTCTGCCCAAGTTAAACTATTCTTTGAGGATATTCCAGCACCATAGGGTTAGGGCTTTTTATTTCCACGAAGGAACACTTGGATGATGGCGATGGCGGTGGCGGTGGGAGGAGCGGCGAGCTGAGAAGCTGATCCTCGGAATGTAGTGAGCTGCGGGGGGTCGATTCTAGCTCGATGGGCGGTAATGAGCAGGATAGGACTGATGCCGTGTACAAGACGAAGATTGTGAATTTCTTGGGCCGCCCCGTGCCTATCATCCTCCAAAACGATAACGGTCCTTGCCCTCTCATCGCTATCTGTGAGTAAACTTTTACTGGTTTGCATTAGGAGCTTTTCTCTTACTTTGTTTTCCCTTGTTTTCTCAGGTAACGTTCTTCTCTTGAGAAACAACGTGACACTTCACAAGGATTCTCCCGACATCTCACTACAAAGTCTACTGATTTTGGTAGCCGAGAGACTGCTCGATTCGAATAGCAACAACCAGGTAAAGTTACTCAAGCTTTAATGCCATTTTTCCACGGATTTGCTCCTCTTTTTTTCTTCCTCTGGTTCAGGACAAGGACGAGAACTATATCCAGAACCAGCAGCAGAACATTTCGGATGCCATCTCGTTGCTTCCTCGGCTTGCCACTGGAATTGATGTTAATGTTCGGTTTAGAAAGTAAGCCGGACTGTGCCGTTTCTTTGGCTCGGGCGCTTATACTTTCGCACTATTTTCGCAGTATTCATGATTTTGAGTTCACCCCAGAGTGCGCGATATTTGATCTTCTAGACATTGGCCTTGTCCATGGCTGGCTTTGTGATCCTCAGGTAACCATGCCATTAAGGGTCGATTCTCTTACTCTTTTGCTGGTGTAGGATGAGACCACAAGCAGAGCAGTGGGATCAAACTCTTACAACGTCCTCGTTGAAAAGCTTGTCGCATTGCACGCTGGAAAGCCTGCTGTGGAGGAGGAGCCGACTGTCGATTTTGCCGCTGCAACCACTGCTAGCTTAGGAGTGCCTTCTCCAGGTCTCTGCTCGAGAACGTCCTTTGAGGGCTTGCAGTTTCTGGATTTCACGGATCAAAAGCAGGAAGCCCCGGAGACGCTTGATACGTCATTGGAGACAGAAACAGAGGGTTCAAATGAAGCGGAGGAAACCCGAAAGAGGAAAGGTGATGAAGAGGAAGCCGCTCAGTTGCTCGACGCTCTCAACCTGTCCAGAGTGGACGTCCCAAGCACGCAGCTTGTGGATACGGAAAATGGAGCTTCGAGTCCAAAGAAGAACCCGGTGGAAACGGAAGCAGGCCTCAAGGAGTGGCCCAGTATGACAGTATGGGTGCCTGAAAAAGATGGTGGCAGTGGTACAGAGTCACTGGTAACGGTGGCGGAGGACAGTGAGTGGCAGACCAAAATCGATCGCGACACAACGGAGAGCTCGCAGCTCAGTAGCTCGTCAGATTTCGAGTGTGTAGAAGTAGACGATTGTAGGACTGCTGATTCTTCGAACCTCAGCGGAGAAGCAGAAAAGATGGAATCCGCGACAGCTGACAGCATCGCTGAGGATGCTGGTCGTGAGAATGAAGGACGGATTGGAATCGATGAGCCGCTTTACGAGGGTGAAACAACATATCAGTCATTTGAAGGTGACTTCGAGAACCGGGAGCTTTTATACGAAGGGGAAGCGGTTATAGCTGATTCGGAGCCGGGATCCAGTGGATCTGATTTGAGAACTTCAGAAGGTATGATTTCCATTTGTTTGTTTCTTAGTTCAAGCAAACTTTTGGGGCTAATATGTGTAACTGGATGCTTTGAAACTTTCCAGCGCTGGCTATTGAGAATTTTTTGAGCAGCCACGCAAGTCAACTCACATACTACGGGTGCGTTGCAAGCGTTTGTTTATTCTTTGCTGAATATTTGTCTTTTCCCGATTTGTTTTTCCAGTCTCTTTAGTTTGCAGGAAGGGCTGAAAGAAAGAGAGCTGTGTGTTTTTTTCCGCAATAATCACTTCAGTGCGATGTTTAAGGTCTGGTTGGTTGTGTTATTCGGTAATTGCTACAAGTGCTTATCGTCGTGTTGCAGTACGAGGGAGATCTCTTTCTGCTTGTGACAGATCAAGGCTACCTCAACGAACCCGATGTCGTGTGGGAAAAACTTACTGAGGTGATTTAATTTGAAGGGTGACGTTCGTTGCTTGACGGTTGCGTGCTGTAGGTGGACGGTGACTCTGTCTTTTTCACCGGCAACTTCACGTTGTTTAAGGCGGACGATCGGAACACGAGTTCCTGGAATGAGCGTGACGCAGTCGCTGCCACAGCTGTGAGTTGTTACAAACTATCTCAGTGGAGGATCTCTGTATTTATCTTTACTTTTGCTGCAGGATTACATCTCTCAAATGGGAAAGCCAGTCCCGGCACCGCAAACTTCCATTGATCCAAGCTACAAGTATGACTGGGTTTTATAGTGTCTCGGTTCTTATCATCACGTCTTTGGTGCAGCTCGGATTTGGAGCTAGCCATGGCACTGCAGCAACAAGAATTCGACCAGCAGCAAAACCAGCAAAACCAGCAACCGCAGCAACAGCAGCAACAGCAGCAGCAGCAGTCCCCTCGAAAGCCATCCAATTCTCCGCGAAAGGGACACAGACAATCCAGTGGGATCACTCCTGGAAGGCTAGTCACGGTAAGAAGATAGCACTTCCTTCGCCGAACTAAAAGATTATCTGGCAGGGACCGAGCAGTGCCAGTCCGCCACCCAAGTCATCGGACTCGAAACCCAAGGATAAATGCAAATTGATGTGAAATACAAAGGATGGTAATAATATACATAATTTTTTTCTTCCCATCTTATTCTCTAGTTTGATTTATTACTTCATAGCTTGGATTGATTTTTTTTATCGATCATGTTAAGATGGACACACTGCCAGTGGAAGTAAAATCCTGCGCAAAGCTTCTAAAATCTCTCGACAAGCTAGAGGATTGCCACAAGGTCCACGCGAAGATCCTCGAGCACAGCCTCTTTTCTCGCAACACCTTTCTCTCCAACACCACCCTCGAGGCCTACGCTCGATGCGGGGGCTTGGCCGAGGCGCTCCACCTCTTCCACTCGATCCATCGCCCCAATCTCTTCTCCTGGGGCCTCGTGATCCGGGCTTGCATCGGCCACGATCGCCTCCCTCTCGCTCGCGAGTTCTTCGATGGATCGCCCCAGCGCGGCCTGGTGCTGTGGACGACGATGGTGGCGGCGTATGCCCAGGCTGGGGATCCCGCGGCAGCGCAGGAGCTCTTCGATTCCATGCCCGAGTGGGACGTGATCTCCTCCACGGTGATGATCACGGCCTGCGAGCTGCCAAGAGCGCGAGAGATCTTCGCCGCCATGCCCGAGAGAAACTTGGTCTCCTGGACAGCGATGGCGGCAGCGTATGCCCGGAGAGGGCATCTGGAAGAAGCCGTGGAGCTCTTGGATCGAACGCCGGAGCTGGATCTGGTGTTGTGCACGTCTATCGCGGCCACGCACGCGAGGAACGGCGATTTCGATCGAGCGAGAGAGTTCTTCAACCGGATCAAAGAGCCCGACGCGTTCTCGTACGCCACCATGATTGCTGCGTATGCCCAGGCCGGGAAGATGGAGGAAGCCCAAGAGCTCTTCGATCGAATGCCCGAGTTTGGAGTGGTGGCGGCCACTGCCCTCGTCCATGGCTACGCCGAGAGTGGCGATCTCGAGGCCGCGAAGCTCGCCTTCGATCGAATGCCGGAGAAGAACATCGTTTCCTGGACGACGATCGTCTCCGCCTATGCCCGAGCCGGTCTCATCGAAGCCGCCGAGGAGTTCTTCGCGAGCTCGATGAGCAAGCACGACACCACATCGAGCAACGCGATGCTGGCCGCGCTGACGCTCAACTCCTGCGTCGATCGAGCCAAGGCGGTGTTTGATGCGATGCCGCTGCGCGACCTGGTGTCGTGGAACTCGATCTGCGAGGCCTTCGCCGGGAGCAACCGAGTGGACGTCGCGGCGGAGATCTTTCGCTCGATGCCCGAGACCGATGTGGTGTCCTGGACGACTCTCGTTGTGGCGTATGCTCAGGCTGGTCATAGCGCCGCTGCCTCGCTCGAGCTCTTCCACGCCATGAATCTCCACGGCCAGCTTCCAAACGCCGTCACCTTTGTGGGAATCCTCACTGCTTGCAGCCGCATTGGGAGCTTGCGTATCGGTCTAGCCTGCTTTGCTTCGATGGTCCACGACTTTGCACTCGAGGTTTCTCCGGAGCATTGGTCTTGCCTTGTGGACATGCTGGGAAGGTCGGGTCAGACGAGTGATGCGCAAGAGGTGATCAAAGACCTGCCTGCTGCTCGCGAGGATCCCGTGGCGTGGACGGCGTTTCTGAGCTCTTGTAAAGACCAGGCGGATTTCCAGCGGGGAGCTTTCGTTGCCCGAGATGTGGTTGCTTCCGGTGTTGCGGATGGCGGGGCTTTCACGCTTGTTTCTAGCATCTGCTTCACTTAGCGAGAAAACAAGAGAAGGCGAAGTGCAGAAACACCTTCTCACTCACAGACGATGATAGCCTTTCTTTATTGTAACTTTACTGGTGTACCTTTGCTTTCACACACGAAGCTCACAGAAGCTTCAGGATATCCTTCTGCAAGAAAAGAAGTTAGTGCACCGAAAGAGAGTAGCGCGGCAAGAAATTGACCTCGATTTTGGATGGGTTTGTAGTTGGAGCATAGCGCTCAACAACTTCACCAGTCTTGCTCACCAGAAACTTGCTGAAGTTCCACTTGATAAAGTCGCCGAAAATGCCCCCACCCTTGGCAGACTTGAGGTACTTAAAAACAGGAGCTGTGTCTGCTCCATTCACGTTCACCTGACACAACACCACGATGGAAAAATTAGGAGAGAACTGAAAAGATAATCACCACTTACTTTCCCAAAAACCGGGAACTCGGCCTTGAATCGAGTACACACGGTTTGCTGGATTTCTTCGTTAGAGCCAGGCTCTTGCCCGGCAAACTGGTTACACGGAAAGGCCAGGATCTCAAAGCCTGGAGTCAGAGAGAGCTCATAAGTTTCACAGCCAGAAAAAAGAAATTCATACCCTTGTCCTTGTACTTCTCGTAGAGCTCGTTGAGTTCTTTGTAATTGGTTGTAGTGAAGCCACTGCCGAAGAAGAAAAACCGGTTAGAGCACACCTCGATTGACAACAAACATACCATTGCGATGCAACGTTTACAATCAGGAGAACTTTGTCCTTGTAGCTGCCGAGAGAAACATCGTTTCCTGTAGCATCCTGTAAAACAATGGGAAGAACTTCTAGACAATTGGAGAGATGTATAAACGAGCGAACCTTGACAGTAATGTCGTAGATGCTAGAGGGCTTATCCGAAGAGCTCATGTTCCGATAATTCGGCGAGAAGATTCTTGCAGAGTCGTGAAAAAGCGAAGGGTTCCTCCAATACAAAGATACCAAGAGCACAAGAACCAACGATATATATGAGGAATATGCACTAAGTATCATTCGCTGGTACGTTAAAAACTAGCTGTGGATTCTTGTGTCTGGAAGAACAAGCCAGAAGCGAGATAGATGATCGACCTCGATCGATCTCGACGCGCAAGAGCGACAATCGCCATACCTGGATTGCGACAAGCGAGTGACTGCTCACAGATCGAGCCAAGCGATTCTCACACCGCGTTCTTGGCGCAGCGCATTCCGGGAAGAAGAGAAAGAACAAAGAAACCCTAGCACTGGAGAGGCAATGAGCTTCTTGTCTATGAGAAATTTTGGGGGGAATGGATCGAAGCGACCATCGATCCAATCCAGGAAATATTACAGTGAGCAATCGCACCGATCGGTGGATGGCAGGAAGAATGGAAATATTTCGAGAGAGCTCTTACTCCTCCGCGGTCACGGGGTCACGCTGTCGCTGGATGTAGGCCGGAATCCCACAGTCGGATACATCTGGCGCTTGCGATGCATGCTCACTGGCGCCGCCGTGAAATGCATGAGCAGCTGGTTGCTCGCGAAGAGATCCGTGAGATAGCTGCCGCCATTGCCGAGAACCTTGCTGCACGCGCCTTTGATCTTCCTCGCGACCACGCCGGGCGCCCTGGCCATGGCCTGGTGGATCTTGGACACCGGGCACGGAGATTTCCTGCAAGCCGACTTGGATTTCGCCGATCGGTCGCCTGGCCGATCGGCCGGGCGGAGGCGAATCACCGGCGGGAGCTCCACATTGCTGCTACACTCCGCGGCATCGATGGAGCTCACGAATCTCTGGTAGCTGCGGATGCCATGGCCGGATTTCTTCTTGTCCCTGGACAATCCCAATGCCGCCGGCAAAGACCGCCCCATAATCCCTATACGGATGGATCCACTGCTGCGTGGCCGCCGTCGCGTGGATCGATGGAATCGATCGATCGCCTGCCTGCCTGGGAAGGATGGAATCGCAGCAACTACCTTATTAACGACTGCCGATTCGGGATCAGAGGAGGAGGAGAGAGAGAGGGACGCGTTCTTCGCCAGGACTGCGACGCCATGCCATTGAAGGAAAAGATGGATGGACGGATCCAATCAAGGATGGAACAGAGTAATGCCAGATCTCCATTCCACGGTTTGGTAGAGCGCATTGAAGGAAGTGACTCTAGGGCTTGCGTGTCCGCCGCGGTGTCAACATTTTAGGGCTTTCCTTTTAGTTTAGGGTTCTAACTTTTAGGGCGTAAATTAAAGGGGGGGTCAACAAATTTGCCAGACAAGATCAAGTTGGCCACCAGTTTGTGGTACTTTTGCGTGAAATGGTTTCCATCCCAAGAGACGAATTTGGAGGGATCAACACAGACTGGAACTCCGGGCGATCCACATTTTCTCCGGGGTGAGAAGTTGTACGGACTCCCGGATCCACAGCACGCGTTGTCTGTGTCTGCGAAACCTGTATGAAAATCCTGATCATCAGCTAGGAAACTTCAAGAGAATAGCCACACCGTAACGCTCTGCGTTCTTCTTGATGTGGAGGAACGAGTTGTAGAGATCCGCAAAGAAGAATCTCGAGTCGCGGTGTTGTTTCCTCAGCCGATCGGTGGCGGCCTTTAGCCCGAGCTGCAGCGTGAGCGTGAGGTTGTTGTACGGAATTAGACACCCGCCGGCGTCATAGTCCCCCGGGTTCTTGCCTCCGTACAGCGTCTTGAAGAGCGGCGTGCAACCCTGTGGAGGGCGGCCGAAAACCAAGAAATTCCTCGCTCCATGCCGGTGCAAGGTCTGCTCGGAAAGTTCTAAGATTTGCCATCGAGACTCGGGTTACTCACTCTTATTGCGGATTCAACAGCGGCCACCGCCCGAGGGATGATCGAATCGCGAATCTCCTCGAGCGATTTGTTCCCGAACTCCGGCTTTAAGTTGTGATTGATATCGTTCCCGCCGACGAGAATGAAGTACAGAGATTTCTTGAAGAAAGACGGGGCTGGCAACAAGTTGTTGCATCCTTTTACTGAGGATAAAAATGCCATCGTCAAAGTTCTGTCAAGCCACAACAAAAGTACCTGTCCCTTGATCGATTTCTCGAGCCCGGCTGATCACCCTTCTTCGAAACTGCAAGAACTGCTTCACTTGGAGCATGAGGTGGAAGGGATTTTGGAAGCTTGCAGCGGCGGCAGTAGCTCCAGTCTGCGCGAAATTCACACTTTTCCTATGATCCGGGCGCAAATCCTCCAAATAAGCCACCGCGCCCTCTCCAAGACCGAGAGCTTTCACTGGAAACCACGGATTGCTCGATTATGATTGCCCATGAAAACAACTATTTGACCCCGTACCAAAGTAGTCCACCATGAGCTTTCCATCGCTGGATCTTCCCGTGCTACTGGATCCGGGCCAGGTGATCCCGTACGGCAGTCCGGAAGGGAATCCCCCGGGCACACCGTCGGGAAACAAGGCTTGCGCGTTACCTGTGTCGGACAGGGAATCGCCAAACGCGATGAGACCCCGGACTGGAAGCGCTCGCAAATGTGGGGCACGATGTGGGGCTTGTCCTCCAAATGTTGAAAGAATCTGGGCATTGGCATCGATGAGCAGCGAGAGCGAGTAGCACATCCATTGGAGGAGCAGTGTCATGGTGTGTGAGATTGATATTGAAGAACGTTTTGTGCAAGCATTCCTCTAGAAGTGAAGTATATTTGAATCTCAAAATCCATCCAAGCACGTTTTAAGATGCCGATAGTGTATTTTGGATTCAAAATGGTCAAAGGGGCATAACGTTAAAAGATATTTAATCTTAAGAGGAGGTCGTTAAGCCTTTTTATCTTTGTTGTTAAAAGATTGGTAAACCCTAAAAAGGAACCTCCGTCGATTCCAATCGGCTTAGCAGTTGGATCGCAAAAGCTCCGAATTAAGGATTAGCCTATAACTAAAGGTGAAGCAAATGAAGTGAGGAGGCCTTCGCCCATGATCTTGGTATTGCCTGGATATTGCTCAATTACTCAGTCGTGAGACTCATGAAAAGCAGATTTTTTCACACTACCACTAGGTGAGCCCAGCATTTCGAGTCATCAAGATCCCTTTCAGGATCTTGCCATCCATGCAACTTCGTCGCTACAAGACCCTTACATTCACTTCACTCATTAGCTCTGACGAGGGTTGAAATTGATGATTCGGACGAACAAGGATTGACCCAGGCCTTCATTCTGGAGTCTGAAATCTCAAAATGAATTACTGATACACCTTGATACTTTGAACAAAATGATTTATGCATCTCTAAGTGCCAGAACATGATCATGATCTTGAGAGAGAATTTACAAAACCCAACATAGATGCGATGAACAAACAACATCCATAATAACTACATCAAAGGGCTGGATTGACTCCAATGGAGCATTGATGGATCACCTTTCATGGGCGACGATTCCTCCAAAGGTGATCCCTAAAGAGGTCCAAAGCTACTTGAAGCTGCAAGGCTAGAAAATGCTAAAGAGATTTATTAATTGTTCCATTCAAATCCATAATCATATGAAGGATTTAGATTGGTTTTCTATGCTCGAATATGAGCTTCAGGTATGTTGGTTTGTTGTTTAATTCTTCACATTTGTCCTGTGAGCAGGCAAAGATGTCCTTGGAGGAGTTCTGCAACGCAGTGCAAGTCCTCACCACCATCAGTGAGAGCTGTCCGATACAAACTCACAAACGACAATTCACGAAGAGCTATAACATGCTGGCTGAGAAGTACTTAGCAGATGAAGTGCAAAATTTTGGAAAGCATGACGTGGTGTTCCTGGTCACAGAGATGTGAAAGAAACTTATTTTAAAGTTTGGTTTGAGCTTTTTGGTTTTTGGTTGTAATTTTGTATTTACAATTTATAAACTTCCTTAAACACTTAATATATTCTAGTTTATTCTTTAAACATGTTTCAATGGATTAACAAATAATACTAAAGTTGCTGCATGCAACACACAGAAAATTAAAGAATTGACAAACATGCGAGCTCAAAACATCCATTTTTTGCTTTCACTCTTCTTTGAAATAAGTCGAAATGCAGACGCACAATCAAGCGTTCAGCTCTGGAAACTAGCTGCTCAAGGTAAGCACGTCGGTGTTGAAAGACCAGCCCTGCGGACTCGTGGCTCGATCGCTGAGTAGTAGTTACAGGTCGAAGGGAATGAGATTAATCGCCAGAGTTGGCTCTTCAGCAACCTTGGCAACGAAAAAATCCCTGACCGGGGATTAAAGCAACTCTTACCAGCTTCTGGAGGCCATTCTAGCTTTGACCACCTCCGGATTCCAGGGGCAGTCAATCGGCACCGAAAGAGTCTCGACCGTCCTGTCCATGAGGCAGCCGCTCCTGTACCCGGTGGCTTTCATGGTCGCAAAGTTGACCATCCAATAGTCAGCGGCGACCTTCGATGACGCGAGCGCTCGTGAAGACGATTTTAATTTTTGGAAAGCACGGGTGTTGTTGACCAGAAAGTCATGAAAAGTCGTAATCAAAGCATATCCTTTTTTCTTTCACTCTTTGCCTCTGGGAAGAACTTTTCTCCGAGAAAAATGAAAGCACCACAAGAACCCCTTGTTGAGGTCTGAAGCCTCTGGCCATGGTTTGACGTTAATGCCTATTTTTCACCGGGTTTGAGACGTCCAGAGCCTCTGACCAGAACTTTACACCGAAAGAAGCTATGCCTATCTTTTCTCACGGGGTGGAAGGATTTGCTCTCGACTGGAGTCCGGTGCACCACGCTGGTAACTTGAACCGATTGATCCATTTGCATATAGTGATATTGTTTATAGGTGTTAACAAATCCATGTCTGGCAACCACAGCATGTACCTTAAGAGCTTGCGTTCTTGTTAAACAATTCGTCCAGCGTCGAAGATCTGCGTGAAAGCGTTTCCTTTGCTTGAGTTTTAATGATAATATCTTTGAGCTTACAGCCTGCTCCTCCGATGGAACGGTCAGTGATGAAAGTTTGATTCTCTTGGAACAGGTTTGTGGTTCTCAAGAACAAACATTTTTACTGCACTGTCAGATTCACACGCCCGGGATTTCGACTCTCTACAGGTGCTTGAGCTTCAATGCAATGTCTAAGTTTTGCTCGTAAAAGCTTTTTTAGGATGGTCCTCCCAAAACACCATACTGCTTACCAATCTAAGAGTGCGAGATCACGGTTCTGAGTTCGACCAAGAAGTGGACAAAATGATTTACGACATGGATGACATTCTGGAACTGCTATGTCTGGTATACATCAACGGCTTGGTAGAAGAACGTACCAGGTTAGATCCTACAATGGATCAGCTCTTGGCCATGGTTGGTGGTAGTCAATTTTCCTGGGCGCCTGTTCCTCCAGAGGAAATTGCGAAGATTCTACGCAGCTTGTTTTAAGAGACTCGATGAGCTTCAGGTATGTTATTCTTTGTATTCTTCTCTTTGTTTTGTGCTTCACATTTGTTTTGTGACCGGGCAGAGACGTCCTTTGAAGAGTTTTGCAGTGCAGTGTCCTTTGCACCATTTGCGAGAGTTCTTCTAAGCACCACCTGACCAACCATGGCAACCGATAAGTTATGACAGGCTTTGCTGTGAAAATCATTGAGAAAATCATTGAGAAAGATCTGCACGGGCTGTCCCAGTGTCCAGGAGATGCCCAGGTTTTTTGACCAGGTAAACTCATTTTGAAGTTTGATTTCATGGTTTTTTCAGGTAGAAAGTTTCACCAGACACCACCGAGGAAAATTTGAGAAGGAACGAATCACACCACTCGTGAACAAGCTGAAAGCATCACTTTCACTTTTCTTTTGAAAGAAGTCGTGAGATCATGATCCACGTATACTTGTTTGAAGCGATAGCTCTTGGATAGCTCTTGTTTATTGAGAAGCAAACTTACTTACTACTGACTCGAGGCCCCTCCTCCTCCCTCCTGCACGGACGAAAGCTTCTCTTTGGTCCCGGACAAGGCCTCGAGCTCCTTCTCCACAAACTTATCAATGTCGCTGGGCCGGGTCCCGATTCCAGCGGCGGCGGCCCTCGCCCGCGGCAAATCGTCCTTGAAAGACACCCTCTTCCTCCTCGCTGGCCGCCTCACCGCCTGTTCTTCCGCTGGTGATTTCTCTGGAGAAGCTCCCGACGGTGATACCAGCAAGACGTTCCGGCAGCAGCACACCATGGCTGCCACCTCCAGCACGAAGATGAGCACCGCCCCCCACACGTAGCACGTCCACTTCCACTTGTACAGGACCGACTTGAGCCACGGAAGCTGCGACTGGACGAGCACCTCCGCGTTGTAGATCTCCGGCAGCCCGGCTCCAGGACCGAATCCGGCCCTCGGTTCCAGCAATATCTTGGCACTGCCCGGGTAGCTGCTGCTCGATCGCTCTTCGTACGCTTCCACCAGCTTTAGGACGAGAGTCTGCGACTCCACCTCCAGTCCTAGGATAAGTGGCACCGCCAGCATAGCTGTCTTTGCGTACCGGATCGGACGACTTCGGTAGCGGAGCATGCAGGGATGAGTGAACCGAGACAGCACCACGCCGTTCACTGCCAGGATCTCAGCCGTCACCTGTTTTATTTCACAAAGTCTGTGAGCAAACCACGTCCAAAGCAAACAAAAACCAGAAAGCAAGAAAGAAAAGGAACTTCCATACGTACCTGGAACATCCCGAGGCGTATGTTGTGGTCGGATTCGGGTAGCTGCAAGGTTGCCGTGATGTGGAAGCTGTGCGTCTTCGGGATTGCCCAGGCTTTCAAGCTGCTGACGCTCTTGTCCGTTACAACCTGAGGGAAGAGAGGAACTCGTGCACTCGGACGAGCCTCGGTGTAGTCGAAGTTTATGCTTTCCCGCAGCTGGACTGGTTCTTCCACGAGCCGGGACATCAGCACCATGTCCATGAGAATGGCAGGAACCAAGAGGAGGTTCAAGAGCATAAACACGTATGCCGCTGACAAAACACCATATCCCATCCTCTTCACCATCCTGCTCACCTTTGGACCAATGTCTGCAGCAGCCTCCCAGAGCATAATCTGGAGCTGAGTTATAACCGAGATGCCATCGCTGATCTTCCCCGTCACCTTGTTCTTGGCCTCCACAGTCCTATGGATTGGTTCCGTCACCATCGAGAAGCAGATGCTAAACAGTAGCATCGCAATTGACATGGTGTAGCCGATCATCTTGAACTGGAAGCCGATCGCGTTGATCAAAAAACCAACTGGCCATAGCAGGAGATGGCTCTCCGGCTGCTCCTTGTGCGTTGGCATCTTGTACACTTCTCTTCTTCGATGCGGGGCCGGTGCCGGGACTGGAGCAGTCTCAAAACAGGCAGACTTCTCGACTAACGGCGGCATTGTCAGCCCCTCGTCCTGTTCATCGGCCCCCTGACTTTCGTTGCTACTGCTACCGTTCTCGAACAACAACGGCTGCCTATCCATGTCCGGATGCTTGCCACCATCGTCCTCGTCCGAATCAAAAGCCACCTCCCATCCGTTGTCAACGTCGGGAACCTCAAAACGGCCAGACCCCGAGGCCGAGCACTCGCCAGAGTCCTCCTCAGCCCCTTTATCGATGCGTGCCTGGCGAAAACCCGAGCTCTCGGCCACCTCTTCATCATGGAGCACGCACGACGATCCGGACGCGCTGTCGCCGACCCTTTCGGGGAAGCAACCGCTGTCAGGCTCTCGAGCAACCGAACCTGGAAGAATCGAAGACGCCATCCCCCGAAAAACCAAATCTCCCTGCCTACATTCCCCGCATCACTTGTCGTGCTTCCCAACTCCGCCCAGCATTTTTTTTCCCCAGCAATCGTTGCTCGTCGCTAGAGCACCGCGACGACGATAGTAATGAAGCTCCCACCCCCCGAGCAAGTGCGCAGCTCGTTTTCTTCCTTCTTTTCCCTGCCCCTGTGCGTTTCCTCCATGCGCCTCGAGACCCGATAGACGGCGGCGATGGCGTCGCTAATTTTAGGAACAAACGCTCATTGGCCACGTGATAGGCCGCCACCTGTCCTTCACGAAGATCCTATCGTTTGCTCCAGAGAACCTCTTTCTGGTGGTGTTGTTTTCTCTTCGAGCTTTGCGATTCTCTCCTGCCATGGTTTGCCGGGAATTAGCGTCATCACAAGCTTTTGTAGATTTAACCATACCCTGTGATATTCTTCCAGCCAGGTGTTGATCTTGGCCCAAGTTGCCGCTCGGCTTTCCTGTTTCTTCTTCTCAGACAGCTCGTCTGAAATGGCATACTTCCAAGCGTTCATGCAGCGCACGCAGCGAGCTCTGATACCACCAACCAAAAGAGACGTCTAAGTCTGAGCTGTACTTGTTAGAATCCGCGTACCTCTTTGCGTGGCCGATTGCGATTTGCTCTTTTAGAAAGAGCTCATTCCTGGAGGTCTTTGATGCCACTTTCCACTTGTTCCAAATCCATTCGCACAGGCGAATATGGTTACAAATGGCGCTGGTTTCCTCGTAGAAACTTCTAGTTTCAACAGCCTGTTGCAATAGAATGTTAGCTTTGGACGCGTGTTCAGGACTAGCAGTACCTCTTTCAAGCCATAAAGACCTCTTTTCACCAGGTGGGAGCAGTAGAACTTTGTCATTTTCAGTGTCTTAAGCCACAAGCGCAGGCACAGAACTTGGCACCATCTCCCCCGAAACGTTCCGATTGTTTCTGCAGCCTCGTTCATCCTATCCGAGACACAGCTCCACCAGGCAGCAAACATCTTCCGCTCTAGAACCAATGAACAGTGCGTCCACGCCTTGTCCATCTTCGTTCTGTACAGACAGCGACCTTCTCATGTAACGCCAACCTATAGAACTTGTAGTTGCAATCATCCCACTTAGTTTTCCAGAGCGCCTACCTCTCGTTCCAAATCAGTCTCTTCCATGGCAGCATTCCGTAGTACACAAGTTTCTTCCGCGAGCAATGCAATGCTGCAAGCTCGAACTGCTGGCACCACAGCTCACGCTGTTTCTTCTTCTCTTCCTCTTTCTACCAATAAAGAAAACTCATCGATCATCAGATCCGAGCTTGCCAAAAACAATTGACCAACCTCGAGCCTTTGTTTCTCGGCCAGCTTCTTTTGCTCGACATAAGCTTTCCTCTGTAGCTTCTCCAGCTCCGCTTCTCTCAGCACCCTCGCTTTCAGCTCCATCTGAAAAGAAAGCAAACTCTTTGGAAGATGAGGAAAAACAAACGCAATGCTGACGTACTTCCTTTTGCCTTTTAGTGTTCTCATATCTCGCTCGAAGTTCTTCCCTCCGCCGGCGTCGTAGCTCGTCACGAGCAGCCATGGACTGTAGCGGCCCAAACGAGCACCTCGTTCCTGTCACACGAAACCACACGTTTACGACAGAGACACACTCCCCTTCCATCTGGACTGCGATGAAATCGCCAGTGCCAGCAATCCAGGCGATATCTCCAGAGGAAAAGCAAGAAATCCATCCAACACGGCTGGATTATCAGGAAGCAAGACCTCCGAGCTGCTAGAGGACAATGCTGGACTCTAGAGAGGATCAAGATCGGATCGCCGCTTACCGGATGATCTGGTGGAGCTGCTGCACAGCGATGCCGCATCGTCTCCTCCACGATCCATGGCGATCGCGCCTCGCGCCCTCAAATTACCCTAGCCCGCCAATCCTAGTACCTATAAAGGAATATAAACTTCCATAACGGACAGAAAATCCAGGAATGTTTTCTCTAACTGAAAAGGAATGGCCGATCGATCAATCGATGGATGGGAGCTTCCCAAAATTTCTCTGTGATCGATGGAGACGAAGAACAGCGTGAAACGAAAGAAGCCCTTTATTGGAGTGGATCAAACAACCAAAAGAGAGAGAATGTAGGTTCTATGAGAAGAAGAAGAAGAAAGAAGAATCATCTAAAAATCTTTGGGTGTGGAGGAGCTACTGCGAGGCCATTTGATCCTCGCAATCGATCATCCGCTGTAAGGATCCTGCTGCAAGAGGCGCCGATTGGCGGAATCCATGCTGCGCGCCAGATTATCCATGACCTTCTCCTGCTGCTCCAGGGAGAGATCGTCGATCTCCTGGCCAAAGAAGGAGCTGCCGCCCGCCCCATCCAAGAGAGGCCGATGCGATTCAACCGGGGCGATCGCCGCGGACAAGATCATCCCCAAGAGGCAAGCCACGAGCAGGAGCTTGGAGATTCCAGCTGGAGAAGCCATCAAATCGTCGTGCTCTCCCTGCCAGGCGCACAAGAAAGACGAAGATTAGGTCAACTTGATCCAAGCCCTACCTGGTGTCCGGTCGAGAGGAAGAAGAAAAGGACAAAGAAGGGAGGGGAAGAACACGAGGAAAGAATGTAGGATCCACACAAGAACAGCGAGATTGTCACAAACCTGCGCGCCTTCGAGCCGCGCGCCTGGATTATGGCGCGGCGGTGGATTGAGCTCCCGCGAGGAAGATGAAGATCGAGAAGATCAAAAGAATGGATCGATCGAAAGAATCGAGAAGAGAGCTGGAGGAAGCCCTAGAGCAAATCTCTTGTTCTCTTTTTTCCCCCTCTTTTTTGTCGCTGAGGGCGCAAGCGAGAAACCTGAGAGGCGAAGTGTGGCCAAACAAAACAAACCAGAAGACAAAACGAGAAAAGAGCAGTTGCCAACGGCAGTTGCCATGCGCAAGTGAGAGCGCATCGCGGCCGTCGGGGTGCTGCCATCCACGGCCGCGCTCGCTCCACGCCACGCGGCGCGCGACGGTCGAGATCCCGCGTTACATCAACGTTTGGAATGTGATAATCTTGGTCGCCAGTAAGAACGCCACCGTAAATTCGAACCGGGGACCGCCCAGAGAGACGTAAATAACCACAATGCTGCCAATCTGGTTAAGTAAAAGTCAAAACGTAATTCTACTAGCTCCTTGCACCTAGCACGCCATAGCTAGGGTTTCTAGGGTTTGCTGGGAAGAGGGAGGTGGGTGGGGCGGTGTGGCGGCTGTAAATGTGATCCTCTTGAGGGGAGATTCGCGGCGAAGATAGCAGCGGCTGTCGGCGCCGGAGGATCGTGAAATTTCAGGGGATCGATCGATCGTCGGCGCCGGCGAGCGGATGGGCGTCGGTGCTTCCAGAACTGGCGCTACATTTCGCGCAGGAGGTATTGGAATCATCGGTAGTGGGATATCTAGGCGCTGCAGTTCATGAAATCTTTGTGAGCCTTACTGCATTGGGGCTTGCATGGGCGATCCTGAAGGCTGGCCACAGCCAAGCGGCCTTTTGCCTGACGGATCATCCTCCTTCGCGGCTCTATTCTCGTCTCTGGACGATGAGCGCTGGCTCCAGGCAGAGAACAGGACTGGCGAGCTCATCACACGCATTCAGCCCACCAAATTCTCCGAGGATCGGCGGCGGGCCGTCGCGGACTACGTGGAGCGTCTCATTCGCAAGTGCTTCGACTGTGAGGTGAGAATTCTCTTTGTTTTCCTTTTTTTCTTGTTTGTTTGCGGTACGTGGACACCAAGTTTCTAGCTCAGTGTGTGGGTCACTGTGTAGGTGTTTACATTCGGCTCGGTGCCATTGAGAACATACCTTCCGGATGGGGATATCGACTTGACTGCTTTCAGTGGGCATCAGCACTTACAGGAATCATGGGCGAATGACGTCCGCGCTGTGCTTGAAGCGGAGGAACGCAGTAAGGATGCTGAATTTCGGGTGAAAGAGGTTCAGTACATCCAGGCCGAGGTAGTTTTCGTTTCTCTTCCTTTCTGTAGCGTGACGAATAGATGATAGCTTGCTACCTGGCTTTGCAGGTGAAGATCATCAAGTGTCTGGTGGAGAACATTGTTGTCGACATTTCTTTTAATCAGTTGGGTGGTTTATGCACACTATGTTTTCTGGAGGAGGTATTAGTTCTAAACATGTTGCTCGTTTTCTAATCCTTCGTAACTTATCAGGTCGATCGGTTGATAGGCCGAGACCATTTGTTTAAACGCAGCATTATACTTGTGAAGGCTTGGTGTTATTACGAAAGCCGCATTCTCGGAGCACATCATGGTTTGATATCCACATACGCATTAGAGACACTCGTGCTCTATATATTTCACGTATTCCATGCAAGTCTTCGCGGTCCCTTGGGGGTAAGTTATAACCATTCTATTGCCCGTTTAGTTTGAAGGGTGGCTGATGCAGGTACTGTATCGTTTCTTGGAATTCTTTAGCAACTTCGACTGGGATAAATATTGTCTGAGTTTATGGGGACCTATTCCACTCTCGGCTCTTCCCGATATGCAAGGTAACCTCTCTTTTCTGTTTTCTGGACGAGGTTTTAACCTTGTGCTGTTACAGCTGAACCACCGCGGAAAGATGGAGGACCTTTGCTACTTACTAAGCATTTCTTGGACTCCTGCAGCCGTGCATATGCAGTTATGCCCAACGGGAACATAAACGGGAGTATTGTCCAAAGCCGGGTCTTTGGTTCGAAGTACCTAAACGTGGTAGATCCTTTAAAAACTACCAATAATCTTGGCCGCAGCGTGAACAAAGGTTTGTTGCTAATGTAAGGTTTCTCTCCTGACAGTGTCTGTCATTGGACGAAACAGGAAATTTCTACCGGATTCGCAATGCATTTGGTTTTGGCGCGCGTAAGCTAGCCCGTATTTTGGAATGCCCTCTAGAGGATGTAGCCGACGAGGTGGATAAGTTCTTTTTGAACACGTGGGACAGGCATGGGAGCGGTAGGCGACCTGATGCTCCCGAGTTCATTGAGAGGATGTCTTCGCCGGATGAAAAGCTGTCCAGTGAAGGATCTCCCAGGGTTGTGGAGAAGGGTGTGTTAGAGGCGGAGAACGACCAGCAGGTTGATAAGAATGCAACAGCTGGTGAACTTATTCAGGAGCTGAATAATTACGCAGTACGCTCTCAACAAAATGATTATATTTCGGAGACAGGTGATAAGACGGGCGAAGTGGAGTGTTCGGACGACAGAAGGCCGATTTCGGAAGATAAGCTGCCCTATACAGATACTGTTCCCGCACCACCACCACCACCACCGCCGCCGCCGCCGCCTGGAGGATCATGGGCAGCGCTAAACCATGGGACTTTTTCGTATCCGCATATAGCTCTACAAGGCGGCTCTCAGGTGTATTCTGGCTTAAGTCCTCCAACAGACGTCACAGTACCACCAAGTCCGAGCTCCGAAGCATCTAGTCCTGTGTATTCTCCACAACGGCCATCAACGTCTCTTGGTATACCGGTTGGGCATTTACTTTCTTCGACATACGATGCGGCCGTTTCAAGTAACATGCAGTCTCGGAAGCAAAGACCGGGGGACGGCCAAGTTCCTCCGTTTTACTATTCTCCATTCTCTTATGTACCTCTCTACAACTCGTACTACGTGTTGCCGCGCGAGGGTGGAGAGGGAGAAACACTGAACGAGATGCCACCAAATGCACTACACGAAGACGGCCAGGCGGGGCAGCACATGGTATTCGGTGTTGGGGAAAGGCTCAGTGCTGCTGGAATTCCTGTTAGTTCTGGTGATCCAGACGCAGACAGGTTGACAGATGGACATGGTGCTCAAGTTTGTCAGTCTGATCTCTTGAGCAGTGACTTCGCTAATCATCTTCGGAACTTGGACTACGGGCGAGCCTGCCAGACTGGTCCTATGTTCCTTCCGCAGCACGCATTTTTCCCCTTCGCTAAGGAGTTACAAGGTCATTACATCTGGGAAGGTCCTGGGAGACCTCATTCGAACGTCAACTTGAAGCATGGGCCGGGGTCTCCACGAATTCCTAGAAGATCTTTTCCTGGACCTGTTGGCTTTAATGGAGACGCTCGCGCGGGCACCGGAACCTATCTTCCTGGGACGGTAATTGTCATAAACTACTTTTCAAACCTTGGTTCTGATTAAGTTGTGTCTTGCAGCGGCAGACTTACCGGGAAAGGCAGTACAGAGGCCAACATGATGGCTATCAAGAACGGGAGTGTGAAAGAGATGCACCTCCTCGTTATCAGCGTAGTGTGGGCCGTGGTCAGAATAGTCGCATAGGACATGGGAAAGCAGGTGACAAAGGAGGATGGCATGACAGCTTTAACAGGAACGCAGTTCATGCAGCTCCAGTAACATTATCTTCTGGCAATCCGCCGGGGACACCGGAAGCTTATTCTCAGGTGTATATGAACGGCAATGGGAACACGTCGATTGTTGTATACCCGTCCAACGAACCGCTTGAGTTTGGGACGCTTGGGGCAGTGCAGGGCTCTGAGCTTGGGGCCGTTCGTGTGAGCTCTAAGGGGCAGCAGGCTGCGGGTCAAGATAGACAACAGCCGTCCTCCCCGAATGACCAGCAAAGGTACCAAAACGTTTTATCGATTATTGTGGCCACTGAAACTCGTTTTGCTACTTCAGGCAAAACCAGAGGGCTTACCAAATGAAAGAAGAGGACTTCCCACCTCTTTCTTTCAGAGCGCAGGGAGGGAATAGTTCCACGAGTGGTAACGGGGCTGGCACTCGCAGTTCCCCGTATCAGACGTACGTTGCATCTCAGTCGTGAGTTGGAGCGCACCAGAGCTAAGACTTGCTGTTTGTATATTTTACTATAATTGTAGCTGCTTTTCTAATTGTAAACTGGGCTGTATTTGTTGAAGCTTTAGGCCCGACTTTTTTTTTCTCACTCGGACAACAAGTCGTATGTTTTTAATACTACTGCGTGTCGTGTATGAGCTAATGACATGGCAGGGGAAGTTCGGGGGAGACTTTTGGAGATGAAAACAGCCTTTCGGATCCGATCAGGTTCTGTACACTTTCGAAATTTTCTTTGCGAGACTAAGTTCTCTGTTCAGATATGAAGACGCTTACGGCGATAGATTGGGCTCTGAACCTGCTACATCTTTTCATTCTGGTACACGGATTTGTTTTCTTTTGTTGGGGGCTCGTTTATTGATTTCTTCAGCTACCTAGGTGTGCGGAGGCTTGATTGTTATAATGGTTCCGGTCATACAAGGAGGGAGTCCCAACTTTTCGCCTGGGTGGTCAGTTGCAGTGATGTAATTATTTGTTCTGGGAATCTAACTTCTTGTTTTGTTTGCGTAGGCTTCTTATAATTCTTGGAGGGGTAACGATTGTGGCTGGTGCTTCAGGCATAGGAAGGACAGTCGGTCCTTGCTTCTGGATAAATATCGTTTTCAATTGTTTTGCTGCTCTTGGATCCATCGTCTACTCGTTGGCCTCATTTTCGAACGTACGCATCACCTTGTCACTTTGGGCTCAGCTTCACTCGCTTGTCGCAGAGAGAGAAAGTGGCGAGAAGTTTTCGATCTAAGCGCTTTAGTGCGAATGAGGTACATGTTATTCACGAGCTTGGGCTTATCGTATCTTTTTATTGTAGGTGATTGTGAATGTAGGTGGAGTCGTTTATTGGACGTGTTTCATGGGCGTTTTACTTCCTGGTCGTTGCCGAGGTTTGCAAACTATGTGGTATAGCCAAAGTTTGGCTAACTAAATTGTCGCCCTGTGAAGGTGTTGGGGGTCTTCTTCGGGAGCCTGGCTCGCCAGCTTAAAAATTCGGAAGGACCGCAGGAGAGTTTTCAACGGCGATCTATTGCTCTTCAAAGATTGAGTGTCGACTTGTATGGGTTCCTTTGAGTTTTCTTTGGCTATTGATTCATGGGGTGTTGCTATTTCAGGGCCGCGAAGGACGTCCGAAGAGCAAGCAAGAATGCGGATCGCATCGCCGAGAAAATGAAGGATAAATATGGGCAGTAAGCTTTATTTTTCTATCGGACATTTTCCCAGCCTTACAATCTTGCTACAGATGGAGCCATGAGTAACCAGTGTTTTCTGTATAACTTGTGATGTGATCCAGCATCGTTTTATTCTATTTCTTATTACCACCGAGGTAGGCTTCCTTTTGTCTATTTCGTACCCTTTAGCTTCATGGGAACAGGGAATGATTTATCTGTCCTGAAAGCCAACACACCATCAAAGACACCGTCGATGCGATCCATGGAACGGGATCAATGCTGATCACCACCTACACAGTTCCCTGGATACCGACGGATGTGAGCTAATCAGTCGACCAGAGGCGCACAGCCTCATTCTTTTACGTACCGTTTTCCCCGTTTTCCCTGGAGCGAATCGTGACTGTGTAAGACGTCTGGTGCGTGACTTCAGAGATGCAGCAAGACCACACCAGTGAGCATCCTTCCACAACTCGTACACCTTCTCCCAGAGCATCACGCAGACTTTGACGAACGGTGTGCCGTTCTTTGCCGATGAGAGCACCGAGATCCAGATCGGAGCCGAGGAGGAGCTCGGAAACCAGACACTGTATCCGAGGAGGCGCGCTTCCTTTGTTCGTGGCAGGTCCATAGGCGACTCCGATTCGCTCGCACTCGCCAGATCTAGCAGGTACGTCACGTTGAAGATTTGCCTGCTCCTCACAGCTTCTTCGACCACCAAAACCAAGGCCAGAGTGTTGCTTCCACGTACAGGAGAGGCCATTGGTCCCTTGAGAGCGATTGTGGTGACTGGATCGAACTGGTCTTCTTTCGAAAGTTTTAGTTTTAGATCGCCGTTCAAGGCAAAGATATATGCTCTAAATATTTTGTTTTAATAAATAAGTGTAAGGATAAAATCATAGGGTGGATGCAAAGTTGAGGGTATCCGATTTCGCGAACACCCTATAGTAAATCCATACATGCAAAATGCCAGATTCACCAACTTTTGTATGAATTCTAGGGGGATATTTTTCAGTGTTAGTACAGATTTATTTATGCGATTGTACGGATCTTTTATTTCTTATTATCACCAAGGTAGAGTGTTCTATTTTGTAACGTTCAGCTTCATGGGAACAGGGATGCGGTATGTCTTGGTACCGTCATATATCTCCGCATCAGTCCTGAAAGCCAGCACACCATCAAAGACACCGTCGATGCGATCCACAGGCTCACGCTCCACACCATTGAGCGACGTGTCCCTCGTCTTGTAGTGGAACGGGACGGCCAGTTTCGCAGTGCTGATCACAACCTGCACAGTTCCCTGGATGGATAGCAGAGGATGTCAGTTAATCAATCGAGCAAAGGCGCACAGGCAGATTCTCATACGTACCGTTTTCCCTGGAGGAATCGTTACTTTGTAAGTCGTCTGATAAGCGACTTCCTCGGACAAAGTGTCGTCCCACTGGTTTCCAAACTCTTGCTCGGCTCCGATCTGGATCTCGGTGCTCTCGTCGGCAAAGAATGGCACACCGAGCGTCAAAGTCTGCGTGATGCTCTGGGAGAAGGTGAACGAGTTGTGGAAGGACCTGGTGTTGCTCACTGTGGTGGTCTTGCTCACGCTGATCTCCATCTCTGCAGGCTCACTGCCCTTGTTCGTGGCAGATCCATAGGCGACACCGATTGGCTCCTCCTCGCTTGCACTCGCCAGATCTAGCAGGTAAGTCACGTTAAAGATTTGCCTGCTCATCACAGCTTCTTCGACCACGAGGTGGCTTGACGTTTCCTCGTAGTCGGATGCCTCAGCAAAGATCGCGTTCGGAGCGTTGGTGAAGGACGGGCTTCCACGCTTGCAGTAGAGGCCATTGGCACTCTTGAGAGCAACTGTGGTGCTGTTCACTCGGACTGGATCGAACTGGCATTCAGGGTGGTCGGGAGTGTCACCGTCCGGTGTAATCCACTGGTCCGCCTTCCAGTAATTGTTTGAAGTCCAGGAGGCGGCTTGGTTGGATCGAAGAGCTATCTTGCCGTTCAGGAGATACTCCACCTGGTAAGGGGGCTGCGAATGGAAGCAAGCAGATGAAAGACGAAAACAGCAGTACCTGGTGGGTGGTAAGACGAACGTCAGCAGATTCTTCTGTGAGCACGAACGGATCCAGTATGACAGGGTAATCGACCAAGCACGTGAGGTATTTGGCATTGCTACCTTTGAAACCCACGTACTCGGGCATGTTGACAACGTAGTAGGACGACTCCACCACTTCTACCATGGCAAAGATCTCATTGGGCTCCTCGAGCAACGCGTGGTACTGGGTGTTGAAGCGCTTGAGGAAGAGACCGTCTTGGACGGAGGAGAGTGCCACCTTTCCTGGGGCGACCTCGGGTTGGAGCTTGAACCGGTTTGAGGCATCGGTGTCGCTGGGCGGGTTCTTGAGGTCGGCTACCACGGCAGAGGTGGAGGAGTGGCGGCGCCAGAAGTGCTTGTTGGCGGAGCAAATGACGAAGGAGGCGTTGGAATCATTGGCATTGTAGACCGCCTCATGTGTGGTGTATCGGGTGGTGGTGTCGGACTCGAATGCAAGGGTGCCATCGGACTTGAGCATGAGGTACTTACCATTGTCGGCTTTGAGAGAGAAGAAGCGGGGAAGCTTGAGCAATGGGGATTCTGGATTTGGGGTGTGAGCCATTGTGAACAGGAGTAACTTGGGCTTAGATTGGGAGAGCTACTGCTATTTAGGGAGGATGATATGATCTCCGCTTAAATGCTCGTAGTAAGATGGTATGTGTGCCTCAATTATTGCGAGATGACGTAACTTACTGTAGACATAGACAGGTTCGATATAAATAAAGGGAAGTCTTCACAGCTGTGAATTTTCTACTAGCTGTTGCTGAAATTGCCACCTTAGCTAGAGCTAGCGGCTGAGGCACATTGAAACACATGGGAGCTTTCGATTAAATTAAGAAAATTAAGTCCTCTTGAGCCTTTCTATCAGCCAAAGGGTTGCCCAAGAACAGGGGTTTCATCTCTTGGGGAATGGCATCAAAGAGCTCTCGAGCTTCATGCGTTTGGCCATTTCCTGCAAAGATGGGGAGCATGGTGCATCCAGAGGTAATGGCTGTTAAACCATACCTCCTAGATCAAAGGGAGCAATACAAATGGCTAATAAAGCTTGTCTAAAATCAATACTAAGAAAAGTATATAAATATTTCACATGAACCAGCTTAAAAAAATACCTCATGAATCAAAGTGACAAATATCCCAAATATCTAATAAAGCTTGTCTAAAATCAGTACTAAGAGAAGTATATTTCACGAAGAGAAAACACAGTTTCAAGGTTCAGCTTCAACAAATACGAAGACCATCAGTACATAACATATCAATACCGCCGAAGCTCTGATACATAACACAAGAATAAAAATCAACCCCGGTATCTACAGAGCGACAGAGAGGTAAAAAGGTTATTTGTTTGAGACTTACGCCATTCTTGAAGAGATTTCCTTTGGGCTGCATTGAGACGGATCCGTGGGCGGTGTCTCTTGATCAGGCTCTCGCCTTCCTTCCAGTCGCCCACCACGCCCAATGCCACCAGCAGCGCGCACGTAACAGCCACACTACGCCCATGACCTGTGCACGAACAACAAGCATCCAAATCGTCTAAGGCCCGCCCCGCCAGCCAAGATGAAAACTAAAGCACGCTCAATGCGCGCCGATAAAAATCCGAGGAAGAACGAGGGAAAGATCATCAATGCAGAGGAACAAAATGCCAATCGAAAGAATGCTGAAAGAAGACAATCAAAACATTGCTTTTCAACTAGGCCTAGCTATGGCAAAAGAAGAAAGAAAGAAAAAAGAGTGATGGGGAAGCCTACCTTTGGCACAGTGGATGAGAATGGGATGGTTCTGGGAGCGCTTGACGAGAGCCCAGCGCACGGCTAGCTCGATGCCCTCCGGCGATGGCGATCTGGTATCCCAGGCCGGGATGCACACATAGGGAAGCTCCAATCCCACCGTCCTGGGTAGCTCGTTGGTGCAATCCACGACCGCGGGATTGCCCGGAGGGATGTGATCGCGCTGGAATGGCCACGCGCCCACGAACAATCCATCGCAAATCTCCGTGTAGGTGGCCTCGAGGCCCGCGCGCCGGCGGAATCGGACGTAGAGCCGCGTACCGGCGAGGTAGGGATAGAAGAGGAGGGAGCTCCAGAGCGGGAAGGAGCCGTGCGAGGATTTGGCGAGAATGCGCGGATTGTTGATCCCCGGGTGGGAGAAGAGGGCTACAGTGAATCCGATCAGTGAAGTGTGGAGGAGAGGGAGGAGGAAGATCCGATGGCGGATGCTGCCGTGCAATGCCGCCCCCGCCGCGAGGATGAGAGCCGCGGGAATGCCTACTGCTAGTGAAATTCCCATGAGCCCTAAGAAAAACCCTAAAGCCAGTTATGCTTGGCATATGCTCGCATTTATAATTAACTTTTAATAATAATCCGTATTTTCAATTTTTGATTCATTAATTTAAATTTCAATTTGTAAGGTTTGTAAATATATACATGTGGCTAGGCATTATAATACTATAGCATATAAATTATCCATTTGAAACTGAATATAGTCCATTCATTCTTGTATATAAATAGTGGGCTAAACCTTAATTAATATATTTATTCATATATTGCAATTTATCTTTAAAAGGCAGAGTTTCTTGGCAGTGTTTTACTTAGTGTTTGGGATCGTGTTTTTTATTTTTATTTCTTCATTCTCTTTTAGATTTAGATTTATGTTAGTTTTTTGTGAAATCTATGACTTTAACTATCACTGTGCTTAGATTTACTCTTTCTTCTGATATTTATTGTATTCTTTTCTTCTATTATACCACACTTTCATTAATCTAGGAGTATGTCACTTGTTCCCAATATTGCTCCGTTAAATTGAACTTTTGGTGTTGTGGGGTGTAATCATATTAGTGTTGCACTCATTTTTGATATGTTGCTATCTCCAACTTCTATGGGATGTAATTACATAGTTTATTCTATTCTTGGTGTTTTGCCATCTTCTGTTGATGTGGAGCGTGATATTAATTGGCAAGCTATGGATAATGCAATTTGGTTCTTGGAGAATATTTGAGGATCAAATTTATATGAGTACGATATTTACAAGCTTGAATGGATTTTGGATTGTGATAAGGAGCTTGATTATTATGGAGATAACTTTGGAGATAAGTTGAAGATTTTGTAGGGAAAAAAATTTAAGTTCTTTACCATTTATAATGTTTATAAAGTTTAAAAAGGAATAGATTAATTTGTAATTTAATCCTTTCTCTTTACCTTCTGTTCTTTCCTAATCTTTTTTTATTTTTTGACTTAAAACATATATTCTTAGTGTTCCTTCCTTATCTACAATATTTCCTTTTTTTGACATATTGATCATTTTTTACTTTTATGATTCTCATTTTCAATTTAGTGTTGAGCTGAATATTTTTTATCCTCTTTATACTAATTTAAATCTTGAGTGTGTGCAGAAAGTTGAGAATCTTATTTCTGTTTCTTTGGCAAAGTCTTTGATTAATTGTGCTGTTAAGTATTCCCCTATCTCTAAGGTTAAACTATTTTGGCTAGTATTTTGGGTTGAGTGCATATCCTTGATTATGAGTGTTGTTGAAAGTGTTTGTTTTATTGTTGTTATTGAGGGTTTTATGTGTTCTCTTGAGAGTATGGACTTTTCTATTAATTTTCTTATCTTAAATATTAAATTGTGTGTTAATGAGGTTGAGTAGTGTGAATTTTTTACTTATTTCGTGTTAGCCAAAGTATTTTATCACAATAAATCCTTTATTCTCCAAACTTTGAACATATTTCTTTCTTTTTTTTTCCTATTTTTACTTTGACAATTGTTAAAAATTTCTTTTCAAAATTTCTTTATCCACTTTTTCTTTTTCCACAATGTTTCTTCCTCCCTTTTTCATTTTCTCCTTTTTGCCTTGTCACTTTAAACTTTTTTTTTTTCAAATGAGGGGGTAGAGGGGATGGATGGGAATTTTAACCCCAATGATAGAGTGAAGACGAGTGAATATAATAGTGGAGCAAAAATAAATAATATAAATTGTGAAGTAAGGATAAACATAATGAGTCAAAATGAAACATCCAACCCTAATATAGTGAAGCTCAATTAATACAATAGTGGAATGAAACTAAATATAGTGGTAGAATAAGGACAAGTGTAACAAATTCGAATGGAGCTAGTGCCTCAGAATTGTTTTTCCTTTGCACTACATAAGTAATAAGGTGATACTCATCTTTTCACAAAATTCTAAATTTTCTCCTAATCCCCCTTCTTTATGTTAGATTGGATTTAAAGTTTATTTACACTCTTCATAAGCATAAATAGTGAGTAAACTAAGCCTCCAAGTTTCTAACATCCTATAGTATAATAAAATTTATTCATATGACTTTATAAATCCTAAGCTTTAGGTGAATCTCTTAATTCAAAATTTCAAAGGAAAACACTGTGGCTTAATGATCTTATATAAGTACCTTAACTCCCCACCTCCATCCCAAAGGGAAGAGATAAAGAGTAATAATTTTTATGGTACTCAAGTGAAACACCATTCTACTTAAGCTAAAAACACTAGAGTCGATTTTCTTTTTAAGAGTGGGAATTGCTATTAAACTAAATTTTACTAATCCCTAGTTCCAATTTAAATTTAGTTAAGAAATATTATTAGAGAGTTTCATCAAGACTAAGTCTTTAGCCTTACTATCTTTACTATATTTTGGAACTCCTTATACCACTTTTTTATAAGCAATCACTTGTAAAGTCATTGTAAAGTCATTTTTTATTTTATTATCAAAAGATGATATATAGGGTTTAAATATAAAAACTGATCTATAGAGGTTTAAATATAAAATGAAAATAGTCCATAAATAAAAATGCATCTTTTTTTGTTTTTAGTTAAGAGATTTTGGATATTTGAGGTTAAATATCTTTGTGTTTAAATAATATAAAGCCCTAGGAAGTTTAAATTCAAGAGATTAATCTTGAACCTTAGTCTTATTTAATAAATTTTTTATCATTCTGAGCATAATTTCAGTGGATTTATCTACGATATATCAAAAAGTTTATTCTATGCAACTTTATGGGCATTTAAATCATTTACAAGGATGTTGAAAAATGAGTTGTTATTGAGGGAAATAACTGTTAACTCCAAAACATTCATTTTCATAAAAGCCATCTTGATCTTTTAAACAAATGACATTAAGTTAAAATACATTTGAAAAAGATTAAATTTAAATTTAGTAATACTTTTTGTTTTATATTACATTCTACACATACACTGTATGAAGAATCTAAAAGCCTTATATAAAAAATTATAGATGTAAATTATGCCTCATTTATTGTGGCAAATCTTAAATATTACATTGTAAAAGAAGGCTTTTAATATAGGAAAATCATTTTTGCAAGTTTATTGTTCTTATAAAGTATTTTTGTTCTTCTTAAAAAACTTTACAAATTGAAAACTAAAATGAAAGTGAGATTAATAATGATATTTCAAGTGAGTAAAATTCAATATATCATGAGGTAAAGTGTCTATAAATTTTAAATTCAATTATTTTATTCTTCTTTATTTTTTCAATTTAACTATGAAATCTATCTAATTGTCATAACCATTACCCTACAGCGAACTTATCACAAAACTTGGTCTCACAGATGCCAACATACTGTTTATCACAAGCCTGAATAAAATTATGTAAAAGACAAGTTTGAATAGGACTGTGTATAAAGAGTTTATTAAAACTACTAGCAGCTTCGTTTTTTTCTACATACGCTTGTGGAGCGAAGAAGTCTTCTATTACTCATAGAGAAATAATGACATACAGTAAGCTAAACAATTTTAACCACACCAAAAATATGTAAATTTAAAGCTTAGAGACATGAGATTTAATCTATACATTTTCTCATTATTATAGCAATTCCTCATCGTAACCTCTCCAATGATACTAAGTTTGAAAAGAAATCTAATTTTAGGATGAAGAAAAACAAATTAAAGTGGGAAAATGAATATGCCCATCAAATGTCATCATATAATTTACAAAAGTGGACATTAAATAAAATCATGTGTTAACCTGCAAAATAACATCTAAACTAGGTGGGACCAAATGGCCGAGAATATCGGCCACGTGGCACAAATGCTCCAAGCTCTCAATAAAGTGAACCAATAATCAAGCTTGGACATGCGACTTTTTCTCATCATGGGTCACGCTGATTTGAGTTCCAAGCTCCAAAGGGTCCTCCTCCAGCATCAGGTGCGTCTGAAGCCCGTACCTTTTAGCTCTTCCAGGGATTCTCACGAAGCTCTCAAAGTCTACGACGATTCCAGGCTCCAGTTCATCCAGGAGATGCTCGACCAGGAGGATGAGCCCGAGGATTCTAGCCAGGAGGCCCAGCAGGTTCTTAGCGGATTGCTGGGTGAGCTCACAGCAATCGTCTCTTCTTACCCATCTTCCTCCTGTTCATCAGATCAAGATGAGCTCCAAACGTCCACTTCTCCGGCTAGTAATCCAGTGCTCGCGAGGAGCGATGGAGCAGATTTGGAGGGTCTGCTAGTGGCATGTGCTGAAGCAGTGGCCGCCAACGATTCAGCACAAGCGTACGAGCTCGTGGAAGAGCTGACAAGCTTTGCATATTCTGGAGAGAGCTCCCTCCATCGAGCAGTGCTCTATTTCACCAATGCCCTCGTCGCAAGGCTGAGAGGATACGGCGCCCAAATGTATAGAATCATGTCCAAGGAGGTGAGCACCAGGCAGACATTGGCAGTGCAAATGAACCTCCCAGTTCTCCGAGCCACCGAATTTTTTGCGAACCAGACCATCCTCGAGGCTTGCCGGGGACAGAGGAACCTTAAGCTTCACATAGTTGACTATGGGATCTTCTACGGCTGCCAATGGCCATCGCTCATCGAAGCTCTCTCCCAGCGTGACGAAGGCCCTCCAAAGAAGATGATGATTACCGGGATCGAGCTTACGAGCATTGCGGAAGCCTCAATGCGTCAAACTGGCGAGGGCTTGATAGCGTACGCAAAGTCGTGCGGGGTCCCACTGGAGTTCCAGCCCGTGGTAAGCAACACTTGGGAGAAGGCCGAGCCGCGGTACCACCTTTCCTCGGACGAGTTCTTGGTTATCAACTGTAAGCTGCGAATGAGGCACTTGAGAGAGGATGGTTACATCCTAATGGAGAGCCCCAGGAAGATTTTCTTCAAGAACATTGCTAGGCTCAAGCCAGCATTGTTCGTGCAGTGTGTGGTTACCACCGACTTAAGCTCCCCGTTTTTCATTCACCGCTTCCGGGAGGCCTGGAGAGATATCCACATCAGAATGGAGCAGATTGAAGAGACTATGCAAGTGATTGATCCGCCCAAGCTCGAGTATCTCAACAGGTTGATGGAGAAGACCGTCATGAACATGGTGGCCTGCGAGGGAGCCGATCGGATTGAACGCCTCAGCTCGTACAAAACCTGGAACTATTTGGCAACGAGAGCAGGGTTTGAGAAGCTGCCCATCAGCAATCAAGCGCTGCAAATGGTCAAGGTTGTGTGGACGAGCCACAAGAAGTTCACGTATGGAATGGATGAGAAGTGGCTGCTTCTGGGCTGGAAAGATGTGACTTTGACGGCGATGAGTGCATGGCAACCAATGTGTAGTACTTTCCCCTTCATTAAGGAAAAAAATTAAGATTAGGTGATCACCTGACAAGAAATACCAAAGCTGGCCGCCTAACAATGGATAACAATGCAAGAAGAAACGTGGTGCCCAAGAAAATTTGAAGGTAGAAGAGAGATGTTTTGGACTTCATATAGTACTTAAAATCTGTTTATGAAAGTTTGTTCATCTTTTAAAGAGAGTTGAAATACCTTTTCGCAGCATCTGGGGCTGCAGCATGTTTTCCATTTCTTGACGCTCTTGCCAGGGAAGTTCTTGCCAGTTCATTAGCTGTTCTAGAGCAAGTTTTGTTCGTCTTTTTTTCAGCTGAATTGAGGCATTCGGGAATTTTCGAGCTACATTCCTGCGGCTCTTTAGCTGACACTTCCACATTTGCAATTAGGATCTAAAACATATACTAAATGGAAACTGTGAACAAATGAGTTATACACACTGTGCAAGAGAAAATGGAGCCACGATTTGTCAAAATGTTTGTGAAAAGTGATTGACAGTTACAGATACTGCGGATTCCGTGCACTCCATCGTGGAAATCAAAACTATGCACCAAGGAAATCAAAATAATGGGACACGAATATCTGTGCTCCAAGCTCCAGCTGGCGCTCCTCCAGCACCAGGTACGTCTCAAGCCCGTCAATCTATCCTCGCCCAGGGATTCCCATAGAAAAGCCCTCAAACTCCAGGCTCAAATGCATCCAAGACATCCTCGACCAGGTGGAGAAGAAGCCCCCGATGGAGATTCGGAAGAGATTGTCGCGATGAGCTCGACCAGCAGTTCCTGGTGCCGCTGGTCGTCGCCCTGGTGGAGCTGCTCGTCCTCCTAGTGATCCACTCACGAGCGATCCGGCACACTTCGAGGGTCTCCACATGGCTTGTGCACAAGCAGCGGACGCCAAAGATCCGGCATGCAGAAGCATTGACAAGGCTTGCCTCGTCGGGAGAGAGTTCACTCCATCGATCAGCGCTCTACTTCACCAATGCACTCGTCGCGAGATTGAGAAGATACGGAGCTCAAATGCATCACATCATGTGCAGGGACGTGAGCTGAGCACCAGGCAGACTCTGGCCGTACAAATGAACCTCCCGATCCTTCGAGCCACCGAGTTCTTCGCGAACCAGACCATCCCCGAGGCTTGCCGGGGAGTGTAAGTATCTCCACATAGTTGACTATGGGATCCTCTACGGCTACCAGTGGCCATCGCTCATCGAAGCTCTTTCCCGGCGAGCGGAAGGTCCTCCAGAAAAGATGATGATCACTGGGATCGAGTTCACCCACACGGCGGAAGCTGTGATGCGTCAAACCGGAGATAGGCTGACAACTTACGCAAACTCTTGTGGGATCCTACTGGAGTTCTAGCCCGTGGCAAGCAACACTTGGGAGAAGGCCGAGCCGGGCTACCACCGGACGAGTTCCTGGTGATTCACTTGCGAGAGAGGTCCAAATGCGAGGATTTGCTTGCAAGCACGGGCTCAAAGCTATGGTAGAACACCAAGATTTTTCCAAGTCTTGCAACAAACAACGTGCGCTAGTCAAGGTCGTTGTGCAACAATAAATCTGTAAAGAAACAATTCATAGTTTTTTGAACCCATCTTTGCGTGCTCAAAGAAGAGAAAGAAAATGGTTTGGCTGGAACACACGGCTTTGACGAAGGAAACGCGACCTCACCAACCAAATCCTTTAACTGTAGAAAGACCGGAAGCTTTCCTGCCGCAATCGCCTACAATAGCTCCATCTACCAAGACTTGGATTGAGAAAATTTTGATCCCGGTCCGAGGTATAAAAGGGAAGCCAGAGCAAGTTGAGGCAAGGAAAGCCTAAGTTTCTTCGTCAAGGTGAGCTCTCGATTTGGTTGCTTCGATCCAATTGAATGGTTTCGAATCTCCTTGCACAGCAGTCCACATTTCTACCAAGATCCAAATGGCCCCTTCCACAGTCACCAAGGAGCTGCCCTGCGCGATCCCTGCTCCAAAGTTGTGGGCAGCGATCATGGACGCTCACTTGCTCGCCAAGGCCGTCAAGCCCGTGGTGACCAGCGTGGAGGTCGAGGGCGGCGACGGTGTGATTGGAAGCATTAGAACTGTGAACTTCAATGCTGGTAAGAAAGATCACTGCTATCATTCCCATCTCTCGATCATGTTTGCTTTCGCTTGGCAGAGATCGTTGGATTCCCTTACGTCAAGGAGAAGCTGACGTCTTTGGATGATTCGAGCATGACCATTGGCACCTCTATGATCGAGGGAGGATACCTTGGCTCGCAGCTCAAATCTCATTCCGCCACCATCACCGTCAAGCCCAATGGCCAGGGGAGCGTTATCGTGTGGGTGCTCCAATACGAGCCTTTGGTCGAGAACCCCAACGTTGACGAGATCGTCGAGGGCTTTGTCAAATCCTTCAAGGCGATCGAGGCCTACCTCCAGTCCACGAACTAGATTCGCGCAGATCTAGTCGCCTTTCTTTCTCGGGTTTTGTTTGATCCAAGGAATAAGTTTCTCCTCGGTCGATCAATCGAGTGTGATGAAAGAAACTCTTCTTTGCCCTGTCGGGCTTTACTCTAGGTGTAGATCTTGCCAAGGAGAAACTGTTGGCGAGAGAGATCCACGCGAAGGATCCAGGATCGTGGGAGATCAGGCGCTGAGCAGCAATCACTCCCCTGCCCGGATCGCTGTAGATCCGGCACGCTCCAGCCAGGCATCCCCAATCGATCGCATCGGGGATCCAGGGCATGGACCGCATCAGCTCCTCGGCATCGCCCAAGTGACCCGATCGCGCCAGGAGGTCCACCACGCAGCTATAGTGCTGCTTCCCGGGCGTAATCCCATGATCCATGCTCATCGCTGCGAAGCAGCATCGCCCATCGTAGACCCGCCCCCAGCGGCTGCAAGCCACGAGAAAGGCCGTGAAGAACATCCCGTCCGCCATGCCCAGAGCTCCCAATCTCTCGAATTCGTGGAGGAATTCTGCTAGATCACGGGTGTGGGCGTAGCAAACGAGCAGCGCCGCGCAAGAAGACACACAATGCTGCTCCGGCATAGCCAAGCTCAGGCGCTCCGCCGCGTCCACCCGCCCGTTCTGCGCGTAGGCACACACCATCGCCCGCCACGCCACCTGGCTCCGATGTGGCATACCAGCAAAGACTAGTCTCGCCTCGTCGGCGAACCCGTTCTGGGCATATGCCGACAGCATGGCATTCCACGTCACAGAGCTGTGACATGGCATAGCGTCGAACAAGCTCCGTGCCACGTCGACATGACCGTGCTGGGCATAGCCCGCCAGCAAGGACGTCCAGCTCACAAGATCCCTGCACGGCGATTGGTCCAGAAGCTGCTGAGCCAGCGCCACATCACCCGCGGCACACAGTCCAGTCAGCATCGCGTTAAGCGTCACGACGCTCATCTCTGGGATCGTGGCAAACAAACGCTTGGCAGCGTTGAGATGCCCGTTTTGGGCATAAGCGCTCAGCATTGCGGTCGCAAGGACGAGATTGATCTCTGGAGTTTGAGCAAAGAGATTCTCGGCTTGGATCACATTCCCAGCTTGGGAATGAGCAGAGATCATCGTGGCCAGAGAGGCGAAATTCTTTTCTTCCATGCGATCGAAGAGTAGCAGGATCGAGTCAAGTTTCCCTGCCAAGGAAAGCACTGAGAGCATTAGATTCCAGGACACACAATCCCGTTCGGGCATTTGATCAAAGAGATCCTTTGCTTCATCTACAGAGGCGCAGCGAGTATATATCCCCAGGAGTGAATTCCAAGAAACCGAGTTCCTTGCCGGCATTGCATCAAATACCCTTTTTGCGGATTCCAGATCGCTGCATGCCGATAGCAGCGAATTCCACGAAACCAAATCCCTCTCTGGCATATCACGAAAGAATTTTCTCGCCATCTCAAGGCTGTCATGGCTCGCCGCTGCGAACAAAAGTGTGTTCCAGGAAATAAGATTCCTCACTGGCATCTTTTCAAAGCTTTCAAGACAGTCTTCCAAATGCCCGTGTTGGGCATGTGCCTGAAGCATTGCGTTCCACGAGATCAGATCTTTTCTCGGCATTGAATAAAAAACAAATTTGCATTCTCTTATACAGAATATGTCACATATTGCTGAAAAGAGCGAGTTCCAGACCATCAGACTCCAGCATGGCATTCTTTCCAGTAAGCTCAAAGCATATTCTAGATCTCCATTTCTGGCATTTGCTGCAACCATAGCAGTCCACGACACAAGATTCCTCTCGGGCATCTGGGAAAAAATCTCTTTTGCAGATCCAAACTTGCCAGTTCTAAGGTAGGCATCCAGCATTGAATTCCAGCACGCCACATCCCGCTCCGGCATCGCATCAAACACCCGCCTGGCATCGTCGACACGGCCATTCCTGGAGCACGCCAAGAGAAGCATTCCCCACGAGAAGCAGTCCCTGCGATCGAGAGGGATGGAATCAAACACCTGCCTGGCCAGCGCCACGCTCCCACACCGCCCATACATCTCAATCACCCTGTTCCACACCAGGAAATCGCCACGGCTCTTGGGATGACAAGCCCAAGCGCGGTGGAGCTCCCGCGCCCTGGAGAGGCTCCTACATGAAACAATCTCTTCCAGGCAATCCAGCTGACTTGGCAAAAGTGAGATCTATAGCTATTCTTTTGGCAGTGTTCTTGAAAGTTAATGGGTGTTCACAAGGAATAATTTGCCACGTCCCTGGCATACTGGACAAGTGCTTGTTTTCTTCAAACAGAGATAGCCATCAGAGCTCTAAAACAAAAAAGCTTTTCGAGCTGAAGTAGCTACAGATGTTCAGCATTTTGCAAGCTTTGCGACTGGATCCACACATGAAAAAGGTGGTTCGCGTCGAGCTTCTTCTCCATGGCCTGGACGTGGATGTCTTTACCCCAATCTATCTATCTATCTATCCATATTCTGTGTTTGGCAGTCTTGCGGTGCCCAACAAGAGTGTGCAAACAAGTTTGCAAGTTTGTTGTGGGGTTCTTCTCGCTCCCTCCATCTCCACGCTCACGTTCCTCCCGGATGTTTGTGCAGGCCGCTAGAACAGCGACGTAAGTCGACGCTCGATTCGCCCATCGCCTCGAGCTCTCAAGGATTCCGGAGAGAGAGATCTTCTCGCTCGCGCCCTCGTAGTTTATTCATCCAGAGCATTTAAGTGGAGGAGCGCATGGTGTTCCACTTGATCTTTGGAGCCGTGAACGAGCAGCCAACACCCAAATCGAGATACAGAGAACTTGACTTGGTTTAGCTGGAACACACGACTTTGACGAGACCTCCAACAACCAAATCCACTGACCGAGAAATTTCCTTGCCGCAACAATAGCTCCATCTGCCAAGACTTGGAGTAAAAAAGTTTGATCGCGGTCGAGAAGCCTAGAGCAAGCTAAGCAAACACTTTCCTTCGTCAAGGTAAGCCAGAGCTTTCGATTTGGTTGCTTCGATCCAATTGAATGGTTTTGGATCCCTCTTGCGCAGTAGGCAACATGGCCCCTTCCACAGTCACCAAGGAGCTGCCCCTCGCGATCCCTGCTCCAAAGTTGTGGGCAGCGATTATGGACGCTCAATTGCTCGCCAAGGCCGTCAAGCCCGTGGTGACCAGCGTGGAGGTCGAGGGCAGAGACGGTGCGATTGGAAGCATTAGAACTGTGAACTTCAACGCTGGTAAGATCATCACACACCTCTTCTCGCAAGCTTGATCGTTTCCATCATCTTCGCTTGGCAGAGATCGTTGGATTCCCCTACATCAAGGAGAAGGTAACGATTTTGGATGAATCGAGCATGACCATTGGCGCCTCTCTGATCGAGGGAGGATACCTCGGCTCGCAGCTCAAATCTCACTCCGCCACCATCACCGTCAAGCCCAATGGCCAGGGGAGCGTTATGGTGTGGGTGCTCACTTACGAGCCTTTGATCGAGAACCCCAACATTGACGGGATCGTCGAGGCCTTTGTCAAATCCTTCAAGGCGGTCGAGGCCTACCTCCAGTCCACGAACTAGATTCGCACAGATCTAGATGTCTATCTGGGGTTTTGTTTGATCCACGATCGATCAATCGAGTGTTATGAAAGAAACTCTTCTTTGCCCTGAGAGATCCACGCGAAGGAGAGCAGCGATCACTCCACTAGGAATTCCGCGAGGTTGCGGGTGTGGGCGTAGCAAACGAGCTACTCAAGCTCAAGCAGCGCCACGCCACCTGGCTCTGATGTGGCATGCCAGACAGCATGGCATTCCGCGTCATGGAGGTGCTCCAGCAAAGACGTCCAGCTCACAAGTCCCTGCACGGCGATTGGTCCAGCCAGCGCCACATCACTCCTGCACATAGTCCACTCTGGAATGGTGGCATAGAAGATCATGGGACCCAGATCTGTTACAAACATTCTACTTTGTAGTCTTGAGGAGAGAATTTGAAGGAGTTGTTGTGATATTGTGGCCACTTTAGTGTAATTGCTGCCAAATATGTAAAAGGTAGACATTTGTGTGTGGTGTATACCAACCTTCACCTCAAATAGCAAAGCCATCCCTCCCAAGGGATTGGAGAGACCATTACCCAACTACTGAATACAAACAATGCCCTTTAGCCTGATATGCTGCAAAGATCTTCTTGTGCTTCTGTCCAAGAGGCCAATAGAGCTCAACACCTTTATCCCGCATAGTATTCACCATTTGCAGATACTGCATAAAGGTTGTCGCCTTGTAGCCATGTATTAAACGCTTTTTCCATCTATAGCGCTTGGGACATAAGCAAACAAACGCGTTGCAGTCACAAGGACGAGATTTACCTCTGGAATTCGAGCATAGAGATTCTCGGCTTGGATCACATTCCCATGGATCATCGTGGCTAGCGAGGCGAGATTCTTTTCTTCCATGCGATCCAAGAGTAGCTGGATCGACACAATTCCAGCCAGGGAAAACACTGAGAGCATTAGATTCCAGGACACACAATCCCGTTCATCGATGAGGTTCTTTGCTTCATCTGCGAGTATAAGCAGTGAATTCCAAGAAACCGAGTTTCTCGCCTGCATTACATCGAATACTCTCTTCGCGGATTCCAGATCGTCATCCTGAGAACACGGCGATAGCAGCGAGTTCCACGAAACCAAAGCCCTCACTGGCGTATCACGGAAGAATTTTCTCTCCAGCCGCTGTGAACAGAAGAGTTTTCCAGGATATAAGATTCCTTACTGGAATCTGATCAAAGCTCCCAAGACAGTCTTACAAATGCCCGTGTTGGGCATGAAGCATTCCGTTCCACGAGACCAGATCTTTTCTGGGCATTGAATAAAAACATCATTTGCATTCATCTATACAAACCGTCACATATTGCCTAATAGAGGACCAGAATGGCATTCTTCCCAGCAAAAGCAAATCTCCATTTCTGGCATTTGCTGCAACCATAGCAGTCCATGACACAAGATTCCTCTCGGGCATCTGAAGAAATATATATTTCGCAGATCCAAGACGAACAGCTTTAAAGTAGGCATCCAGTATTGAATTTCATCACACCACACCACTCCGGCATAGCATAAAGGAAACGATCTCTTCCAGGAAATCCAGTTGATTCAAGTCAATGAGTAGTCACGTAATGTCAATACAGTCAATACATTGACTGTTTTGACTTTTTTAGCTCGTGAGCTCGGGCTCGCTGTTAATCTCTTGTACTGAGATTGATCTCACTATACTTTAGAGTGAGATGGCGGACAAATCCATCGGGATCCATGCCTTTACCAGTCACGACTTGGAGGAGCTCCTCGGCAGTCTCATACAAGCGCCCAATGCTGTGAACTTTGTCACGCAGCCACTCGCGCAGTGGCGCAAACTTTCCCTGCGCAATGTTTTGGCGGACAAGGCCACCGAGATCTCTATCCGCCGCATCGAACAGCTGACAGGCATAGATCGCTCCAAGAACATAGGTTGGGAAGTATCCAAAGATCCCCAAGCTCCAGTGGATGTCCTGCAAATCCAAGTATCGTGATTCCAAGCTCCAGATAGAAGCGATTCGATCGACTAGACTTGCCTGTAAGCAACCTTGAGCATCGTTTGAAACAGTCACACCGAGGTACTCCTCCATCTTGGCGTTCCAAACGCTGGGAATCTCAGTGACGCTCAAGCTCCCATCAAACAATCCCTTCTCGATCTCGTAGCGGATGAGAATGTGCAAGGGGTACGTGATCTCGTCGGCCTCCACTCTCACAAGCGAGGGCTTCACCCTGGTCAAGTAGCGGTAGAAGCCATCGCCCGTTATCACGCCGTGCTTCGCAAGGCCAGACCCCGGCCAGTAGTGATCCCAGAACTCGCGGCTCAAGCCCACCATGCGCTCCCAGAAGAGCGACTGGCTCTCGTGCATTCCCGTGCTAAGCGGTCGCAACGCGATCAAGCCCGGCTCCTCGACTCGCCCTTGCTCGTATAGCGCATGTCCGGTCTCGTGGATCGCCGCCAAGATGCCAAACCTGCGCTGATTCAAAGACGATATTAGATGTTCGAAGAACTTTGAAGAAATCATGCACAGACCTGGGATTGTTCTCGATGAACTTGGACGTGATCCGGACGTCCGAGGGTGGCGAGACTGGAACTGTCATTGGATGGACGGAATCATCCAGCCGACCATTGAAGCCCATGTCCTGGATGATCTTCCTCGCAAGCTCTCTCTGCGGCTCCATTGGAAATGCCACGCCTGGCGTGTCATAATCGGGCTGTTTGATCTTGGCCAGGAGCCCGATGAGGGGCTGCTTGATCCGCTCAAACATGCGATCCATCTTTTGCACCGAGGACCCACGTTCGTGTTCGTCCAGCACGTAGTCATATGGATCCATACCCGGCGACACCACCGCCGCCTCCTCCTTGCGGATCGAGATCCACTCGCTGATAACCGGGGCCATGAGATCGAACCGGTTCTCGCGGCGTGCTTGCTCCCAAGTAGCCTGCGCCGTGACTTCCAGGCCCGAGATCCTCCTGTACAAGCTCTCCCGCGTCTTGATCACTCGGCTGTATTCCCGGTACGCCTCGCGGATCGTGGCACGTTCCATGGCGGAAAGAGTGGAGGGATCGATCTCCCGCGCGCGCTCCAGGCAGCTGCCAAGCTCCTCGGAGTTTTGCATCTTGTAGAGGAGCGAGGCCAGCGCTTCGACCTGGCGCTTGCGAGCCTGATGCGCTCCTGCCGGGAGTGTTACCTGTTGATCCCATTGTAGCAGCGCCATGACGCTTCCAATGGCTTCGATCTCCCCGAGCTGCTGCCTGAGCTGCTCCATCAATGAACTTTTCGTACACATACTCTAAACTATTTAAGAATTGCGTTGAGATATTCTTAGGTTAGCACACAAAGAATGTATGCACATTCCGTGCAAGCACAAATGGCCCTACATGAAATGAAAATCCACATGTTTGCACGGAATGTTGACCATCACCAGGTATTTTAAGGAACAGCCCGCTAGAGCTTATAGAGTAGAACGGAAACGAAGCAAAGGTGGAGCAAGGTAACGATCGTTTCTTTCTTTTTACTTCGGAATCTGTTTTCTGATGTTTTTTTCTAGATGAATTCGGCATCCTTGTGCTTCTTCATTTTGTGCATCATCGTCGCTCGTTCTTACGGATGGAGTTTGGTAAATCCAAGCTTGATACTCCCCACCAAGGCTCACAACATGAGCTCGTTTGCAAGAATGCCAGCGGCAATTGAGCCACTCGGGTTCGAGTATAAGGTGAGGTCTTTGCTATAAGCTCTGCGTTTCAAAGGTTTTACATCCTGCAGATCTACTTGAACACAACCAACGAATGGAGGGTTGAAAACGGCTCGTTCTTTACAACTGCGCAGCTCCATATTGGAAAGCATCTCTTGGTCCCAGCTCTTAGCACTCATCCCCGCCATTTTCTTCCAGAAGGCAGTGCGCTCCCTACCCTTGACTCTTTCTCCCTTTCACCCTCCACGAAGACAAAGATGCAAAACATGTATGCCACATACTGTTCCACTTGCCATTGCTTCCACTCGCCTGAACTCCTTTTGGATTTCCTCCACTCTCGTCGCGTCACACAAGTTCTCCACATAAATCGTTTTGGTGAGAAAGCTAGTAACATCTCCATCCATAGTATTGAGCACCTTCCAGAAGTTCGAACCGTGTGTCATCTGGTTCCACACCCATGGGCTGTCTATGCATGCCACTTCATCCCTCAAACCGTTGCTTTGGTGATAAACAAATCCGTGGGTGTCATATGCCATCTCAACACCACCACATTCGATCCTCGCACGCCTGCACTCTTGTACCTCAACACAAAACCGGGGGAATCAAGCCTTTGCCACTACCTAGTCCAATATGACATCCTCACTTTCTAAAAGGTTGCAAGAATGATGCGCTCCCAATAATCACACCGAGTATTTCAGAGTTGACTTGTTTGACCAAAATAAAATCAAACATAGTAGATGTACAACCTCTTCTCTAGCAAATCCAATCGAACTTCTCACTCTCACCCAAGTGATATCGCGCAACACAATGCTGGATCTTCAGTGCGATCAGTTGTCCTTCTTCACGGCGGCGCTAGCGGCGGCGAGGTCCTCATCCAGGAGGATGTCCCACAGACCGTCCCAGCGGATGAAGAACTCGGTGTCGGTCACGTACTGGACGCGGTGGACGTCCCCCGCGGGCGTGTAGAGGAAATCCCCAGTCGCCAGATCGAATACCTCGCCCTTGGTCACATTCCACACGCGCTTACGCCCCTCGAGGACGATCACGTCGTGCCCAAAAGTGTGGTGGTGCGCCGGCTCCAGGCTCCCGGCCTTGAATCGCACCACCGCGCTCGTCGGCTCCTGGCGCAGGATCTTCCACGAGCCCCCGGGCATGATGTCCACCGGATCGAAGCTCCTGGCGCTGGCGAGCTCGCAGATGGCGCAATCGGAACCGGCGGCGCCGCTGGAATTAGGGTTCTTCGCACTGGCGGCGCCGCCGATTGCTTCCATCTCGGGCAGGGACTTGTCCAGGAAGGTGTGGATCTCCTCCGGCCATGGATTCCCCTGGTTGGCGGGGCACGGGGACTTGAATGGCGTCGCCAGCCACGCGTCGACGATCTTCTCGGCCTCCGCCGGGGGAGTGGCGACGGCGCCCAGCGTGATTACGTTCGAGTTGTTGATCGATCGGGCGTTCTGGGCGTCGGCCACGGACGAGCAGGGGGTGGCGTAGATCCCGCGGGACTTGTTGGCGAAGACGCTCACGCCGATGCCGGTGCCACACACGATCAAGCCCTTGAGCGCCGCCGCCTTGTTCTCGGCCACTCGCTGCCCAATTTCTTCGCCCACCTGGTAGTACTTGTCGCCCACGCCGCGATCTTCCACCGCGATGCCCTTGCCGCGCAGATACTCCACCAGGTGATCCTTGAGCGCCGCCCCAAAGGGGTCGGCGCCAGCCACGATCGCCGCTTCCTCCCCGCCCATTTCCTTTAGGTCAGATTACTATTTTGCCTTTAAGAAAAATGCAATAACAGTCAATAACAGTCAATAACAGTCAATAAAAGTCTTCAAAGACTGTGTTGGACTTCCATTGACTTCCATTGACTTTGAGTTGAAATTGGCTCAACTCGTGGGCTTTTACGTAATTTGGCCAATTGCTATGTCCTCCTCACGCTGCATTTGCCTAGTGGAGTGATTTTGTACATTCTGGGGAGAAAATCTTTTTGGATCAACGCAAAACGACACGCAAACCCCGACACGCTTGTGCTGCGACATATAAATATGCATTTCTCTTCTCTGGTCTTTTCCTAGCATTGTAACCAAAGAAACACATCCTCCCAATCAATCACGTCTCGTTGTTCTCCTGTTCATATAGATCTCCTCTCCTCTTTGGTTTCCTTTGATCGATTGATCGATCCATCATCAATCATGGTGGTGGCAAATGTGAAGGTGGAGATTATCCTCAACGTCAATTGCGATCGGGCTTGGGAAGCATTCAAAGATTCCAGCTCCTGGCTTCCAAGAATGATGCCCAATGTCATCCAAAGTTACGAGTACGATGGTGGACGAAGAGGGGCTGGAAGTTTGCGACGAGTCACTTACGGTCCAGGCAAGTTTAAGTTTGCTCCTCCCTAGAATGATCATCCATGTGTTAAGCTTGATCCGATCCCAGCGATGGATAGATTGTGCTTTCGATGATTTACGTGTGCTTGCATTCGTGATCTTGCCCTGCATTGCCGGATCTCACGTAACTTTCCAAGAACCTTTTTCACTCCTCCCAAGTTCTTGGGAATTCCACGCTCGAATGAATCTACGGTCTCCCTCGCACGAACTTGAAACGAGTAGAAACGAGTAAGATGATAAAAATATTAAAAGTCTCGCTCTCTCTTTCTTACAGATTTCCCGGCTGGATCTTTCTCGCTGCAAAAGATCCTGGCAGAGGATAACAATTCCATGACATCGACTTACACGCTTGTCGGTGGAAGTTTGGCGAGCAAGTACACGCATTACGTCGCCACGGTGAGGTTTCGGCCGGGTCCAGCCGATCGATCATCCACCACTGTCGCGAGCTGGAGCCTGGACTACGAATTACGCCCCACTGGCACCAGCAGCAGTAGCAGCAGCAGGGATGATCGTGACTCCACTGACAATGCTGCGAGTCGCTCGCAACAATCGGCGCTAGATGCCTTTAAAGCCCTCGAGCAGTATTTGCTCTCTTCTAGCTAGTAAGAACATTGGTACGGAAGACAATCCTTGCGAGACGGAAGAACTTAATGTACGGTTCCCGGGTGGTACCATGTCATACGATTTAATGACATGCGCAACGGACGGAATTAGCTTGGGTTTCCGGTGGATTTCGGTGGCATAAGTGGTTGGCAATTATAATGTTTGTTGCAAAGAAACTTTTTCTTTGTTATCGTTTCTGATATTTTTTTTCCTTTGATCTTAGCGACGTTTACAGATTTTTGTTTCTCCAATCTTGGAACTTTCTTTATTAACTCTCGCCATGAATCGATATACATCTAGAAACCGGGCTAAAAAGGATAGAGGACGAAGAGGAAAGAAGAAAAATTTTCCCTTTTAACCACATTCGCTTGCTTATTCACATACTCTTGTCTTGTCATGGATGTGATGTTCCTTCGTTGATCTTCTTTTTTCTTTTTTTTTTTCGTTGCGATGGTTTTTTTTTCTTGGTGTTGATGCCCGAAAGAATTCTCTGGCCTGAAAATCAAATACCGAGGGAGTAGCGATTGCTGTGGAGTTTTCTTCGCTCTCGTTCGTTGTCTATATAGAAACTCTCGCGCAAGCTCGAGTGACAGTAGCAATCAATCGATTTTATCCATATCCCTGTTTTGTTTCTAGCCCCGAATGAAGAATCCAGTCTGTAAAAATAATCTGAATTGGCTGCCACCACCAAACAGTCAGCCACTCTTGAGATCGATGAATCGACTGGAAAAGGAAAGAGAGAGAGAGAGAGAGAGAGAAGAAAATGGAGGAAAACGAAGGAGAGACGAGAATGAAAGAAGAAAGAACGAAAGAACGAAAAGAGAACCTTGTTACCAGCAGCAATAGTTTTTAAGTCCTCCCACGTCGTGCTTGTTTTTGTCGCTCGCTGCGTAGAACGGTCACAACTCTAGCTCTTTGCTCGCCAATCCGGGAACCTGGACATCAATCCTTTTGCTCGCCGATGAGATCGAGCCCGATGACGAGGAAGGAGATCCCTTGGAAGAGCAAGAAGTAGAAGTGCACGCCTTGAGCCGAGAGCAAACTCCTCGCCGCCGCCGTGAGCAGCAGGAAAGCCAGGCTCAGCTCCTTCCTGTAGAACCGGGCCTTCGGTTTCTTCTGTGGCGATGGAGCCGGAGCCTTGGACCTTGCAACCTGTTCCTGTTCTTGCAACTTTGCCAGAGTTTCCACCTGTGAATCCGAGGAGCCGCGGAGCAACTGTTGAGCTTCCGCCAGTTCTTCTTTTGGAGTGACTAATGACAAGTCCGCTTCCGACGCTCGGCCTTTCTTCTTGGTTACCACCCACTCGTAGGCGCTGCTGAGCTGAAAGAGTCCCGATATCATAGCGTTGAACTTGGTGACGGACATGGTGTTTTCGAACAGAAGGTAGGGAACGATGAAAGGGAAGGAGCGAGGGGACGGGAGAACGTTGAGGAAGGACATGAGAGCTGGGACGTAGCAAATCACCCAGACTGGCAAGTGTGACTCTGGAACGAACATGGTCATGGGAAGGATAATGCAGAACAAGGTGAACGAGTAGAATGGCAGAATGAGCTTTCTAAGCAGGAAAAAGAGAAAGACGAGATTGGCTTTCCTCCACAATGGTATCTGGAAAAATCAACAAAGCCTTTCAAAGTCAGCAACAACGTACAAAGAAGGAAAACGAAATACTTGCCTTCGCTGTGACAACATCTGGCAAGCACAATCGAAAGAGCTGCATTGGACCCGAATGCCAACGATGCTGCTGCTTCCTGTAGGCCTCGTACGATTCTGGAAGCTCGCACAATACGTTGACGTCGTTGAGAAAAATAAACTTCCAGCCTCGCAGGTGAGCTCGCACAGCAATGTCCATGTCCTCCACAGTCGTCCTTTCCAACCAGCCACCTGAGTCCTCCAAGGCCGTCTTCCTCCAGACTCCAGCGGTCCCGTTGAATCCAAAGAAGTTGAGAAACACTCCGTTCACCTGCTGTTCGACTTCGAAGTGAAACGAGAGATTTACGTTCTGGAGCCTCGTAAGCAGGTTGTCATCCTTGTTCACGAACGCCCATCGTGCTTGTACCAACGCTAGTTTTGGATCTTGCTGCAGAACACAGACCAGCATGTCAAAACGACAAACCAGTTCAAGCTGAGCTGGAGCACCTTGAGGTGAGGGATTGTCCGCTTCAGGAAATCAGGCCTTGGTTGAAAATCCGCGTCGAAGATCGCCACAAACTCATAGTCATTGACGTAGTCGCAGGTCATTGCAGACTTCAAGTTGCCAGCTTTGTAGCCCGTTCGGATTGGTCGGTGCCTGTACACAATTCGTATCCCTTTCTGATGCCACTTGAGGACCTCAGCTTTGATGAGCATCTGAATCTCCTCGTCGCTCGAGTCGTCCAAAACCTGAACTAGGATCCTGTCCCTAGGCCAGTCGAGTTGGCTCACTGCTGAAATGGATTGCTCATACACCTGTTTAGCGAGCGAGAACAGAAAAGGCAACTCAGAAAAAAATGAAAAGTGCTCAAGCAAGCCAGCTCAACGTTTTAAAAACAAACAACCAATCGAGCAGGAAGAGAAAAGATGACAGGGTTTGCTTACAAGAAAAAAGAGAAGAACTCATGAAACCAATCTATATCAATCAAAGCATTGCTGGAACTGGAACTGGAAAGCAAGAAGTGCACATACCTCTCTTTCGTTGCACATCGGGATCTGGCACAACACCATGGGATAGCCATTGTACGGGAGCTCGGGATCGCCAGAGTCGAGTAACTCCACGCTTGCTTCCGGTCTAATCCTCTTGTACTTGATCCAGATGCAGCCCAGGCACAGCAGCACTCTATCCGCGCTCTGGATGAGGAACAAAACGATGCAGCCGTCGGCCAGCGCCTGGAGGGGAGGAGCGATGAAAGTAGCTCTTACGTAAACCCAGCCCAGGTAGATGGTTTGTAGCAGGCTATGGAGGCTGAGATCTTTGGGGCTGGGAAGATGGAAATGTGGTCGGTTGAAGCGCAAGTGCCAGCCCAAAATGTGGGCACACACCTCCACGACGAGCATCACCACCGCGAAGGCCAGGAATCCTCGGATAAACTGGTGGAGCTTGCCCTTGTGCTGTGGCTTCCCCGACGAAGAAGAAGAGTCCGAGTCCCCCGAGCGAGAGCTAAGAACCAATCGCGTCTTGATGGCCGCGAGCAATGCCCAGATCCCCTGCGCCATCCACGCGACGCACCCCACTGCTCGGTGCGCCTTGAGGAGGAGGACCCAAGTGAGCTGCTTGGCGTTCTTCCCTCTATCCTTGTCGCCGTGAAGGGCCGCGTTGGGTCCTTCGATCTCCACCATGGACCAGTTGTTTGGATCTTCCATCTTGACAACCACTGGCGTTCCCCCTCCTCCCCCTACTGCCCCGCCCCTGCTCCCAAAGAGCTCCGACAAATCGAAGCTCGGCGGCATCCTGGCTCGAGATTTCCCACTGCCACTGCCACTGCCTATCGATCGATCGACCCCATCTCCTTCTACCGCCCTGTTTCTACTCTAGCTCTAGCAAGCTCCCTCGAGGAAGATGAAGCGATAGAGATAGCACCTTCTTTGCGCGTGTTCTTCGTCAAAATGTGGAAGAATGCGTGACGATGACCACGACCTGGCACGGATCTTCCAAATTCCTCCCAATCTCGACGTGCATTGCGCGGCGTCTCACCGCGCGCTGTGAATTGGCCGAGAATGCGGGATCTGCGACCCCGTCCAGACCCTAGAACCCTGGAAATATTTCGGCATTGGAGGGAGAAAGTGACCCTGGATCGATGCTGCTGCCGTGGTACACTACAAGATCTCAATGCGAGGAGGAGGAGGACGACGACGACGAATAGACCGCTGTGCCGCTTACCGCCATTGCTACGATAGCTCCTCCCGACCGCTCGTCCCCTTGTTGCCTAGCGCCGCCGCTGGATCCGGCCAGGAATTGCCATCCGAGCCACCACCACCGCCGCCCGGCCGCCGCCGCCGAGCGCTGCCGCACATATATTCCCGATCGATCGATCGATGGGCGTCAATGCCGTGCGAGAGTAGAAGAAGAAGAGGAGGGGGCCTCGCCACGCCCTGCCATTTTGCTCCAGAGCCAACGATATTTGCTCGCACTGGCTGGCTCTCCAAGCCACTGGCATATTCCACCGCGGAGGGGGTACATTCCGCCGCGGCGTGTGGAATATTTCACCGCGCGGCGCCACCGCTCCGTCACCATGGTAGGTGAACGGTCGTAAGAGGGGATGGCCGGAATATCCGTCTGAAAGGCGGGGTCTAGTCGTGTGGTATTCGTATCCTGTATTCGACAGTTACATTACAACCAACGTCAGGTGGCCGAATTTCTCCCTGAGTGTTGGCCATGTGGCCCACGTCCCGTAATTGTAGTCCCGTGTCGGGCTTTCTGGCCCGCCGCAACTAACGGCTGGGAGGCCGTCCATCCGCTGGCTCTTCCGCCGCAGAATACCAGGCGTCATTAGGGCCGTCCATCTGGCCCCAAAATGCCTGGCATCATAAGGCCCGTCCATCGCCTCGCCATTCCGTCCCGGAAATGGTCACTCCCAACTGTGTTTGCAAACGAATGAAGTACTTTCTCCTTGTTTTGTTCGTTTGTGTTTGTGGGTGTGGATGATTTGATTTTGAGCGTTTGGTAGAAATTTCTTCCACTATTTTTTTTGGATCGATGATGATCCGAAATGCATGCACGATGCTACCGACGTAGTCCGCACGACACAAATGACTCAAAACTTTTCGCGTGTTTGTGGGTGTTTGGCCATTGTCTTCCTGTCTTTGTTTTTGTTTTCCACTTCGTCCGAGTGGTCAAAAGTTCTGGGATCATGATGTTTGCTTCCCATGATCATACCATGATCAAAGCCTCGCGATTTTTTGTTTTCGTTTTGTCAAATGATTGACGTGTGTGTGTGTGTTCGTGCGGGGATCTATGATGACAGACAAGGGTCGTCCAGAAATCACGAACTCCTGCCGCTGCGATCAAAATCTCGTGTACGCACAAAAGCAAGCAAGAACAAGCAGCGATCTAGCGAGAAGAAGATAAAGAACGAAAACTTTGATCTGGTCTTGCTTGCAAGCAAAAGAAGAAGAAGAAAAATAAAACACGAGAACTCACTCGTTTGTTGCGAATGGAACACGCTTGTGTTGCTGTTGCAGATTTTTTCATGTAAAAGGGACAAGCTCGCCAACGGATCGCTGTCAGGAATTGGTGAATGCACACCTGAAAGCCATCGATGGGTGAACTGGAAAATGCCAAACGAGACGAGATTTTTGTCCTACCTTTTAGAGGCCAAAACTCTGGAAACGATCGCAGTTTTTAGGGCTCGAGACGATGAGGGCTGCTGCTGCTCGAGTGAGAAGAGGTGGGTTCTTAGAGTTCTCTCCTTTGTCATGCTTAGCGGAACTTTTCTTCTTGCGTCGTGGATCTTTCCAGGCATCGCAATGCGGCAAAGTTCGTGCCGTGAGATGAGCAGGCGCGCACTGAAAATCGCAACCAGGAAGGTACCAAAGTAAAAGATTAGTTTTTGGCGAGGAGAAGAAAAAGCTGGCCTGACCTTTGGTTGTTTTGGTGCAGGCTGCACAGAGCTTGCGGCGGGACAAGATCAACAACAGGATCTCCAAGGAAGTCGCCAAAGCGTGTAACTTGCCTTCTTCGTGCTCTCGATAGCAGCAGAGATTTCTAGTGTTGTTGCCCACTCTCGTTTTTTTCTTGAGCAGTGTTCGGGAGGGTGGTGCCAACACAGCGTCAAACTTGCAACTGGCAGCGGTGCTTCAACGGGCGAGAGAGCTGAATGTCTCGAAAGAAATCATCGAGCGAAACATGAAGAAAGCGAAGGACACCGAGAACCAATCCTTCAGTGAGATCCTGTACGAGGTAGAAACACACAAAGCGCGTGTTAGCTAAAAAGATAGAACCTTTGCTTTTTTGCTTTCTTACGTGAAGCTGTGCTTGCAGGTGTTTGGCTTTGGTGGCGTTGGGATCGTGGTCGAAGTTCTTACGGACAATCCTAATCGCTCGGCGTGTCAGATTCGAGAAGTGGTGAAGAAGTGTCGAGCCAAGATGGCTGGCTCCGGCTCGGTTCTCTTCGACTTCAAGCGAGCTGGTGTACTTTGCGTTAAAGCTGCCGCAGACGTGAGTGCCGACGAGCTCTTTGTAGCAGCCACCGACGCTGGTGCCGAGGATGTCATTGAGCCTCCGGAAGACGAGGAAGCCTCCCTGGAAGACAGGTACACCAAAAGCTTTTTTGCTTTAGTGTCATAAAAGCAAAGCTTCTCTACACTTTTTCCAACAGGGTCTTCAAAGTGATAACAAAGGCGGAAGACTACATACCTGTAAAATCCAAGCTTGTAGAGGCCGGGTTCCCAATTAGCGTCGACTCGGGTCTAGAGCTCGTGTCAAACGCGCAAGTTGAGGTAACATATCGAAACGCTAGTGCCTGATTTTGTTCCGACTGGGATGATGCTCCTAGGTTGATGATGAAGCGATGGAGTTGAACAAGGGTCTTATGGAAAAGCTACTGGAGCTGGATGATGTGGACGCTGTTTATTCAAGTCAAAAGGCTTGAAGTATAACCGGTTCAGTGTCTGTAAGTGGACAGAGGAAACAAAGCAGCAAAGGTTCGAAACAAGAATTGAAAAACATACCTGATGCACAGCCTTAAAAATTATTTTCTTAGAATGAAAACCGTCGCGTAGAATTATGATTTTGTAAGATGCTAAACGACCCCGCAATTTATAACTCCACAGTGTCCATTACCGGAGTATTTTTCTTGGAAGCCCTGCATGTGCTTGGCAGCCTGTGACTAGCGTTAATGTATACACTTGCAGTTTTAAAACCGGCTACATTCAACCAACCTTTCGGACGGCAAGAATCATCCCTCTTTTGCATTTGCGCAATCAATTTTTTCCGCGTTAGCTCTGATCCAAGCAAAAACTCGTTTAGTAAAAAGAAACAACACAGAGAAACAGAGAGAGAATCCTACTTCGCTTTTCAGATCTTGAAGCTCTTGGCTTTCTCATTTGTTGTTGGTAAGATTGTGTAAGATACAGGACTGATTATGCTCAACACGTATCATTTTCGATTTGATCGCCTCTGAGGTGAAAGTTATTATATGAGCAGTTTTATCACGAGCTCGAGCCAACGTCTTTTTTAATTGTTTAGCATGTTTCTCAAAGAGCCTCTATCGATCAGTACAAATCCTGAGGTGCAACGAATATTTACCGATCCACGTAGACTTTAGAACCGGTCATTAGAAAAAACCAACGTATACCTTCTGAAGGAAACCGAAAGCGTGCTATAGTTCTTGTTGGAACGGCAGCATCGTCCTGAGGCTTCCAAATAACGAGCTCCAAAGATGACGAGGAGAGCACTAAACCATCATAACTAGCTTAGCCGTACTTGTGAGTGTAACTCACCTTTGATCTCTTTGATATTCTTAAAATCAAAATCCATCTCTGCAGCGCCTTCAAACTCCTGTAAAGTTTGACGTCAGTAGCAACTTTGATTGTAATTGCACTCTCGTACTTTGCTTGGTGAGTTTCCACTCCGATATGCACCCATACTTCTTCGTGAGAAGTATGTTCGTTGCCATCGATGAAAACTTGTAAGGCTCGAAAAGAATAAACGCTAAAGCACCTCTCACCTCTCGATGCTCCCAGGGACTCATTGACCAAGTTAACGAAGTTCCTAGTGCCGGTCTTGACATCTGGCCTTTTCATCTCGTGCATGGATAGCATTGCCCTTTTCGCAGCATCGTCATCAACTATGTCCATGAGCCTCTTGTGTGCCCTTGTTAATTGAAAAAGCATCTCCGCAGCACTAGCTTGAAGTTGGAAGTCTCCACACTTCGGGAGTAAAACCTTGAAAAGCTTGTAGCTGCATGAAAACCTTAGAAACATAAAATGAAATGCATAGCCGAACTCACCATCCAGTCACGTGAAGTATCAGAAACTTCTGGTTCTCGGCCGATCGAGTAATCAAGACACAGAGAGTCTCCACAGAAGCACGCTTGAGTTTTAAAGACCCCGACTTCAAGCCAACGTCAGAAGCCTAGTAATGAAGTGCTTCCCACAAAGAACTTTGCCTGTTAAGAACGAAAGAAAAAGGAAAATCACTAAGGCCTCATCTCTACATACGACCGCTCACCTTAAGGATGATCGCTTAGATCTTCGATGGCAAACAAAAGCTGCAAATTCAACGACAAGACCTCCCTCCGAATGAAATCCACAGTCACAAGATCATCACACACAGCTTCGCCAGCGCTTCCAAAAACTCCTCAGTCACGAGAATTGGAAAAGATTGAAGCTTGCTTCAGCAATTCCTCCACGCGCCCATATAGTGCCGCCGCTGGAAGCCATGGATTTGGACCTGAAGAGCTGTGAGAAAGAATCGCTTATACCAAGAAACACTCACATTCTCCAGGACGCCGAGTAGCCGCGCGAGATCCAGCCCACCGATGAATTCCGATCGAATGCATTGATAATCTAAATCCCCGGCAGCTGGATCCGTCCGCGGCGACTCCATCGCGCTCTCATCCACGAAAAACCCTAGCTAGCTCTGCACTGGGCGGGAAAACGATAGCACACGTCAAAGAATCGAGGCCGTCAAAGTGGCGTTTGTCAATTAACGGTGGAGATCGTGCTACAAGGCAGGATAGAAGTAAGAGCTCGTAGCAAATCCCAGAAACAATAGACCTCCAATGAGCGCCACGGTTCTCTGTGATATTCTCATGGCGAGAATTCGACCGCCAACGACGGCAATGCTCGTACACACGGTGTGTCCAACGATCGCTCCCAGTGTAACTCCCACAGCGTTTTTGTGAGCAGCAAGCTAGAAAGACGAAAATTTTGAGCTGGATCAAGGAAAATCAATGCGAACTTAACTGCAATCGTTGCGATTTGGCTTCTATCTCCCCATTCCGCCAAAAACGTGAGGATGAACGACTGAAACGACCGGCAAAATGATCAGCCAGAGAATGAAAACTTGGAGTGTATCACCAAAACGTACCTCCAAAAAGATTGGAGTGCAAAACCTCGTGAAAAATTGTCGGACTCTTGACTTTCCATGCGTGCTGCCTTCCAGTTTCTCTTCCACCTGCGGGAACGAAGTTGGAAATGAGCGAGCAAAGCTTGGGTACCTCTCCGAGCTCGTTTTGTTTCTCGGTGACGCCAGACTTCCACGCTATATACAATAGCCGCAATCCAAAGAAAGTATACAACACTGCAACAAGGGAAAACTGAGGAAAAGAAAGGATCGAAGAGAAATCCATACCAGTGGCAAAACTATTGACGTGCCTTCGCGAGATAAGATTGGGAACTATTCTTCCAAGAACAGTGGAGAAAACCTGTTCGCAAAAGAATAAAAGCACCTGAGTAAACAGCAAAGAAAGCTTGAAAGAACTTACAGTCATGAGAGCAAGCGCGGTGAGAGCTCCAGAAAGAACTATGGCTCGCGGATGCCTCATCGCCATTAGAGCTGCGATGATGAAAGTCTCGTCTCCAATCTACCAGAGGAGCACAAAAGAATTAGGCCTAAAGCAGCAACCATTAGCAACGGAGAGTTCCGGGACGAGCAAACGTTACCTCGCTGACAATTATCATAGAAAAGCTCGAGAAAACAGCGTCGAGCAAACCATACCCGCTGAAAATCCCCGGTGCTTGGATCAAGGCCCCGGTGGAATTCATGGCTTCATCCATAGAAATCTAGAAGAGAACAAAAAATGGCAGCATTTTGGGAGTGATCAATCGATCTGGAAGGAAAGTATGCTTACCTGTGCTTTTCGCCAGCCTTGCGCCCACTGCGAAGAGCAAACACAAAAGAATGAGAAACACAAGCCGCCAATGCAGGCCTCGATCGAATCCAATCACCTCAAGCAGCGACGCCATCACGAGCGCGATCAAAATCCACTGCTTCCTCATGGCGCCGGCTCCCAGAGCTCAGATCCTTAGATCCACTACCAGCATAACCCTAGCACAGATCTGGCCTTGGCGCCCAAAATCGCAGTCACTGACTAGCTACGCAAGAAAAAAAATGCCCTGTTTCTATTTCTAGGGTTAGGGTTCTTGGGCGTCTTCTTCCTCCGCGTCTTGGTCTTGGATCGTTTGGCAAATCTCGGGGATGGATTGGTCCAAATCGTCGGCCTGGGCGTTGGAGAGCAGCACATACGGCACCGCCGGACACTCGGATTGCTCCTCCATAGCCACGAGCTTCCTGGCGATGCGCTTAGCGCGCTTGACATCCTTGTGGTTCTTGCAAGCGCCCAGTAGAGTGGTGAGCACCACCACATTGGGCTGGAATGGCATCGTCTCCATCAATTCCTCGGCCTCGTCTAGCCGCCCAGTTCGTCCCAGGCAGTCGACCAGGATTACAAAGTGGAACACTCCCGGGGTGAGGTGATAGTCTTGGATCATCGATCCAAAGTGGCGATATCCATCCTCCTGGAGGCCCGAGTGGCTACAGCAATTCAAGACGTTCACGAACGTCACGGCCTCTGGATTCCTCCCGTCCAGCTGCATCGCCAAGAACAGCTCCAGCGCCTCGATCCAGTGGCCATTGCTCGCGCAGCTCGCGATCATCGCGTTCCAGCTGATCACGTCCACCACCTCGCGGCCATCGTGCAGCAGCATCGCCTGGAAGATCTCGCGAGCTCGACCCACTCGCCCACACCTCCCATACATGTTGATGAGCGCGGTGGCCACGATCACGTCGGTGTCCAATCCAGATTCCACCACCAGCGCGTGGATGATCCGCGCCTGGGCGATCGCCGCGGCGCTCGCAATCGCCTCCACGACGCTCACGAACGTCGTCACGTCGGGCCTGGCCGATCCATCGAGATCCATGAGCCGGAAGAGCTCCAGCCCCAGCTCGCCGCGATCGCTCAGCCCGTACGCGTTGATCATCGTGTTCCAGGAGATCACGTCTCGCTCGGGCGCTCGATCGAAGAGCTCCCTGGCCTCCAGAGCTTCGCGCGCGATGCCATGCGCCTGGATCATCGTGTTCCAGCTCATGAGATCGCGCTCGGGGAGCCTGTCAAAGATGGATCTCGCGCGGATGGATTGGCCGAGCTGGGCGTAGCCAGCGAGGAGCGCGTTCCAAGTTACTCCATCGCGCGTGGGCATGCTCTCCACGATCTGGCTCGCGGCGACCACGAACTTGCTCTGGGCCAGCGACGAGACGATCGAGTTGAGCGTGACAAGAGTCCAGTGTGGCATTCGATCAAAGGCGAGCTTTACGAGCTCGATCTTTCCGCTGCTCGAGTAGCCATTGAGCATCGCGGTCCAGGAGATCACACTCCGGCTGGGCATCTGATCAAAGACCAGCTTCGCCTCCGCCGATCGAGCGTGAGCTCCATAGACGCAGATCATCGCGGTCCAAGAGACGTGATCCTTCTCGGGCATCGACTGGAAGAGATCGCGAGCTTCTTCCAACCGGCCATTCTCGCTCAGAGATTGGAGGAGAGTGTTCCAGGTGACAACGCTCCTGGATGGGATCTTGCGGAAGAGGGCGATTGCCGGGGAGAAATCGCTGCTCTGGGCGTAAGACGCAATCGCGATGTTCCAGGAGACGACGTCGCGGAGTCGCATGAGCGAGTGGAAGATCTCCCGCGCTCGATCGAGCTCGCCGTTCTGGGCGAATGCTCGAAACATCGCGTTGCAAGACGAGGTTCCTCGCTGCGGCATTCTCTCGAAGATCTGGAGCGCGCTCTTGGCGTCGCAGCAAAGGCCATAGCCGGTGAGCATCGCGTTACAAGATAGCACATCGCGGGTGGGCATCTCGCGAAAGAGTTTGCTCGCGTGATCCATATGCCCGGCTTGGGCATAGGCGTGGATCATCGCGTTCCAAGTCACGACGCTCTTCTCTGCCATGGAATCGAAGAACCAGCGCGCTCGATCGAGCTCGCCACCGTGAAGAAACGCCACCATCATCGAAGTGGACGTGATCACATTGCGCTGCTCCATGCGATCAAACACCGCGATCGCTCTTCCCAGATGCCCGTGCTGGGCATACGCCCCGATCATTGCGTTTCCAGCCACCACGTCTTCCTCGGGCATTCGATCGAACAGCGTCTTGGCCTCTTCCAGATGCCCCTTTAGACCATAGCCTTGGATGGCAATGTTCCAGGAGAGAATGCTCAGCTGTGGCATCCTCTCAAACACAAGCCCCGCCCGATCCTCTCGCCCGCTCTGCGCGAAAGCGTTCATCAAGACGTTCCAGGAGATGTGATCCCTGTGAGGAATCCTGTGGAAGAAATCGATGGCGTGGTCGAGATCTTGGAGCACGCTCATCACGGTATTCCAGGAGATTGCGTCGTGCTCCGGCATCCTGTCAAGGAGCCAGAGGCAGCAATCCATATGCCCGTTTCGCGCATACGCTTGGATCATCGTGTTCCAAGTGACCACAGACCTCTGTGGCGCGATCTCGAAGATCTCTCGCGCCGACTCCACCATGCCGGCATGGGTGTAGGCGACGATCATGTTATTCCACGAGAAGACATTGGGGCGATCCAGCCGCTGGAATGCCGATCGCGCCTCCTGGAAGCTCTCGCATTTGGTGTACATGTGAACGAGGAGATTGCCCTGTAGGGTCTGTGAATCCATGCCATGATCGGCGAGCACGGCATGGATTCGCCGCCCCTCGAGCAGCGCCTTGGATCCGGCGCACTGCCGCAAGAGAAACGCGCAGAGATTTCCATCCGGATCGCGCCGCTGCTGCTCGATTTGCCGCACGGCCTCGCGCAAATCAGCTCGTTTCAATGCCTCGCCATGCCTCATGCATTGGGAAAACGAATCTAGAGGGCGCTTATAAAGAGATTCGAACCCGGGCGGGCAAAGATTTTATAGCTATGGCCACAAAACCCTAACCCTAACTTTTGGTGTTTGATTGCCCTAGGGTTTAGGCGCTTTCGCGTGCCCGGGCAGCTATGGAGGTCTGAGAGAGCCGCTCGCGCAGCTCCAATCCGGTGTGGGAAATGGGAAGCAATCTATCGCACGCTGCCGCGCCGCCGCCTCCGCCAGTTGCGACGCCGGACAAGATTTCGCCGCAGCCCCCAGCAGCTCCCCCGGCCAAGGAGGATGAGAAGCCAGATGCTAAGGTCGACTACTTCAATCTCCCGTGCCCTGTCAAGTATGAGGAAATCCAGCGGGAGGTGTCCAGTAAGTAGCGATTTCCATGGCTGCATTGTCTCATCGCGTGTTCTTCCAGTGGCTCTGAAGCCAGATCTCTTCGAGGGCCTAAGATTCGATTTCAACAGGCCATTGAATGAGGTGTTCTCTCTGAGCCACAGGTATCAAGATTTTCTTTTTATATTTCTTGTAAAAATCCAATCTTTACAGTGTCTTGATGGGATCCATAGAAGTTCCACAGCAATCCCCGCAAATCGTCAAAGTTCCCAGCGCGCACTATGAATTTGGTGCGAACTTCTTGAGCCCGCGGGTTTGTTTTCTCTTCAAATGTTTTGGTAAATCTAGCTGAGTGTCTTGGAATGCCAGCTTTTTCTTGTAGGACGAGTTTTAACGGATGGAAGGCTGAATGCCCGTGTGAAAGCCGACTTCACGGAAAACTTCTCCATGAGGCTGAACGCCCAGGTACGATATAACGATTCCATCTCCTTCCGGCATTTGTAGACGTTTCTAATGCGTTTCTTGTCCATGGCAGTTAACCAACGAGCCACACTTTTCACAGGGAATGTTCCAGTTCGACTACAAGGTCAGCCTCCAATCTTTATGTTATTTTACTCTTCTAAGAGTCGAAATGCAGGGCAAAGACTACCAAACGCAGTTCCAGTTTGGCAACAGAGCATTTTATGGAGCAAATTATATACAGGTAAAGTGGCCGTGATTTCGAAGAAAGATTTTCTCAGTGTGGTTTTTGACTTCCAGAGCATCACTCCTAGCTTAGCTCTCGGCGGTGAGGTGTTTTGGGTTGGTCACCAAAGAAAATCTGGTCTTGGACTTGCTGCGCGCTACAGCAACGATAAAGTGGTTAGTTCTCTTTTCCTTGTATTTTTCCAAGTCGAAGTATATCTATGATTCATTTTGTTGGCTTTCCAGATTGCCACTGGTCAAGTTGCGACTACGGGAATGGTGTCATTAACTTATGTTCAAAGGGTGTCGCAAAAGGTAAAAAATATTCTTCTTTTCTCCGTTAATCAAACGAGAACTTCCAGGTGAACTTAGCGACGGATTTTCTATATAACGCGCTCACGAAGGAAGCCATAACAAGCATTGGCTACGACTACATTTTGCGACAGGTAAGTCGCTTCTAGATTTGAGCAGCTCTTCATGCATTTTTTCGGCAGAGTCGTGTGAGAGGCAGGCTCGACACGAACGGCTGCGTGGCCGCTTTCTTGGAGGAAAGACTCAACGTCGGCGTTACGTTTCTCCTGTCGGCGGAGGTTTGCATCGCCGCCATTGTCAATACTTCCTTGCTAACTCCCGTGCTGCTGGCTGCCCAGATTGATCACTGGAAGAAAGACTACAAGTTTGGTTTCGGGTTGACGGTTGGGGAGTGACAGAGATTCTTTTTTCTTTCTCGGACAAGTTTGAGTCTTTAAAACCAGGGAGTGGCCCGTCCGCCAGATTTTGAAGAGCGTCCCGCAAGTACGCTTCCTTCTTCTGCTAGCTTAGTGTAAGCAATTCAATTCCTCGTTCCTTTCCTTTTGCTTGTGTAGTTCTATGCTATATAACACGGCCGCGGTAATAAGCAAGGACAGACTACTACGTTCCAAGCAGTCTTATAGTTTGTGAGAAGCTTGCGTTACAAACTTTTGGTCTCTAACTCTTTGCTCGAGCTTGTGATTTTTCCAGGCTCCCAGCAAGCACGTCCACTCGGTAGCGTCTGGAGCAAATGGCATGCTCGTCGCGACGTCCCTGGCAGTGTCAAGGAATCCCGACCTTGCCAGGAGATCCACCACGCAGCAGTAGTGCTGCTTGGTCGGCTCGATCTGGAAGTCACTCACCATGGATGCGAAGAACTCCTGGGCTCTCTCCAAATCCCCGGCGCGGCTACACGCGATCAACACTGCCGCAAAGGCTGCTCCATCCGGCGGCGCTTGGAACGTCGCTGCCATGGAACTCACGAGGCTGAAAGCGTCGAGAGGATCTTTGCCGTGGTGTGCGTACGCGGCGAGCATCGAGTTCCAGATCGCTACTCCATCGAGCTTTGGGACTCTGTCGAAGATCTGGCGCGCTCGATCGACGTGCCCTTGCTGCGCGTACGCGGCGATGAGCGAAGCCCACGAGATCTCGTCCCTGTTCCTCGCGTTTCGATCGAACACATCCCTGGCGGCTTGGAAGTGGCCGCTGTGAGCGTAGGCGCTGAAGAGCGTGTTCCAGGAGAAGGAATCTGGGGCTGGAATTCGATCGAAGAGCTGCTGGGCTTGCTCCAAATCGCCCTCTTGCGCTCGCAGCGAGAGCGCTAGATTCGAGCTCACGAGGTCGTGCGCAGGCATCCCGCGAGAGAAGAAATCCAGCGCTTGGCGCGTATGCCCGGCCTGGGCATACGAGCAAAGCATCGTCTTCCACGAGACAAGATCATGCCGAGGCATTCGACCAAAGATCCGCGATCGCTGGCTGTGCGTCGCGGCGGCGAGGATCGCATTCCACGAGACGAGATTGTGCTCGGGCATCCTCGCGAAGATCTCCTCAACCTCCTCCTGGTATAGTCCCGATTGGGCATACGCGCCAAGAACAGTCGTCCACGAGATCACGTCCCGTTGGGGCATTGCTCGATCGAAGCACTCCCGGAGAAGATCTAGACGATTTCCCTGCGCGAATGCCTGGAGCAGCGAGTTCCAAGAGACCAAGTTCGTCTCTGGCATACTCTGGGAGAAGAATCGCTGGGCTTCTCCAAAATGTCCAGCACGGGCATATGCTGCAAGCATGGAGTTCCAGGAAACTAGATTGTACTGCGGCATCGCATCGAAGACCCACTTCGAATCGACCAGATTACATTTTTGAGAGAGTGCTGCCTGGATGGAAGTCCATATCACAAGATCCCTGTGTGGAATTCCCAGGAACAATTGCCATGCTTCCTCAAAATGCCCGGCTTGGGCCAATGCGCAAAGCATCGTGTTCGATGACACTGCGTCCCAGAGTGGCATTCTATCGAAGATCTCTCTGGCGCCGTGAAGATCTCCAATGTCGGCACAAGAACCCAGCATCGCGGTCCAGGCCACGAGAGTTTTCCCCGGCATCGAATCGAAAATCTCTCTTGCGTTGTCGAAATGCCCGTTCTTGGAGTATGCCAAGAACATGAAAACCCAGGAGAAGGAATCCCTGCTGCTGGTGGCGATCTCGTCGAAAACCTGGCGCGCCATCGCCGGGCTCCCGATCCGCCCATACATTTGGATCAGTCGATTGTGGACGAAGGTATCGGCCCTGCGGAGATTTCGCTTAGCGAGCGCGTGGATCTCGGTGGCCTCGGACAAGCTGCCGCAGGAATCGATGAGTTCCAGAAGATCTTGACGCATCCAAAAGCCAGGTCGATGGAAATTTCGCGCGCCTAGAAAGTTCTACCTAGAGAATCTCCCTAGAGAAGAAAATGTCAAAGCTTAGGAAGAGCCCTAATTCTTCGTGGGTATGGCGGACACGGAGGCGCTGCGCGTGTGGTTCCAGTCGGTGGATGTGGATCAATCTGGCTCGATCAACGTGACGGAGCTCCAGGTCTGTGCTCTGGAATGCGCGATCTCGCCAAATTTCGAGCTCGGATTTGAAAATTTTCGCTGCAGGAGGCACTGGCTGCCGGAAATCTTCGATTCTCCCAGTCCATGGTAGCTCAGATGATCAGGTCAGCTTCCTTGGCGCTAGATCTCTCCAGACAGTGATGCGTGAATTCCTTTCTCTCTTCTCTCTCCTCACAGAATGTATGACCGGGATCAAAACGGGACAATGTCATTCGAAGGTAGTCTCTTTCTTTGGAAATTCGTTGTCATGATCGATCAAATCGTTTGTTTTCTTCTATCCCTGGCAGAGTTCGTGAATCTTCACAAGTTCTTATCCCTGGTAAGAGGAGACTGTTTGTTCTTTTCTCTTTCCCTGGCTGAAAATTCGGGGAAAAAAAAATCCAAACAAGCTGTGCACTACACCAGGTCCAAAATGCTTTCACAACCAGCAGCAGGTAGTCTCGAGCTCATCTTCTTCCAGGAAGAACTTCTAGTTCTTACGAGTTCTTCCATCGCTGTTTTTTTTCTTCAGAGGAAGTGGAGTTCTCGGATTGAGTGATATGCACAAGGTACTTTTGCGTTCTTGTTCTTTGCTGCCAACTTCGCCTTTGATCTTTGCGATAGGCCTTGGCGCAGGCTGGATACGCTCTGGATCAACCATCGTTTTTCATGGCATGCCAGGCGAGTACCTTGTAGAATTCCAAGCCATGCTTGCTCACCGCAGGTTTTTTCAGAGCTTCGATCAAAAGCGAACAGGCCAGTTTCGTCTGGACGATTTCATCTCGATTTGCATCTACTTGCAATCAGCCAGGTGAAGGATCTCTTCTTCCTCTCGTCTAAAAAACTCTTTCTTTCTTTAACCAGGAACCTCTTTGATGCCTTCGACACAACTCGCCAAGGAAGAATCACTCTGGATTTCAATCAATTCGTCTACTGCGGTAAGCTTGGAAGTTTTCCATGGATTGGTTTGGTTCTCTCGCTCTCATTGTGTGTTTCTTCTTTCTCAGGTGGAAACTTACGAATGTGAAGAACAATAGAGACTTGGAATAAAGCAAAGAAAGAAAGAAAGAAAGAAATTTAGGGTTAGGGCAGAGGTGGAAGGAGCTGGGCATGGGAAGAGGAATTAGTCTCCCTGTAGCGTATGGTAGACTGATCGGGGAAGGGCAGTGTAGCACACAGGAGGCGGCGCAGCACAGCAAGCAGGAGGAATGGATTTGGGAGTACGCGCTCAAGAACTGCCAGGATTTCTCCATCGCCACGCGCTTGCTGGAAGCGATCCCCATCCCCGACACTCCATTCATCAAGAAGCTGGCGATTCTCAAGCTGCTGTCGCTGGACGTGGAGGCCGGGTGCTACGCCGAGAGGGATTTGTTCGCGCTGCAAGGCCTGGAGCGGCTGGCTAGAGACGAGACTAGGAAGGGGCCGGAAGAAGAAGACGAGGAGGAGGAAAATGTGGGAGTGGTGGATCGAGAAGAAGGGCAGCAAGGTGGCGACGAGAAAACGAGGAGGCGATGGCGGAGGCGTGAGATGGATTCTATGTGGTCGAAGGTGGGTGTTCTCGTCAAGGCGGAGCTTGCTTTGCAGCACTTGAGAGACGGGAAAGAGGACTGGGAGGGTTTTACCGACGCTCTGGACAGGCACTGGGGAGATGTGGTCCAGGACACCGAGGAGCCCGACTTTTGCCAAGGGAACAACATCAAGTGTGATCTCTGGAGCCTCAAGGCCAACCACAGGCTTTCGAAGTTTATCCTGGCAGAGAACAAGAGGGAGACTGTGGATGAGCTTGTGAAGCGGTTCTTGGCTCTCGCGTGGGAAGATGTTGGCCAGGTTTTGCTGGAAAAGGTGGACGAGGATATCGCCAATGGACGGTACGTGCCTGGTGGAGAGAAGCGTCCCCGGGAGTGTGAGGATAACAACGATGGTGGTGCTGATCCAAAGAAGAAGCGAGTGAGGAAGACGCTGCTCGCAAGCTTGGATGGAGAAGAAGCAGATATGAGTCGTCCTCCATGGAGTGGTAAGCTCCCTGTTCTTTTTCCTTTTCCTAGTTATAGTTATCTTATGGGACTTTTTCTTCTAGGCGAATCTGAGAGACCAGTTACGCGAAAGCTAAGACGACGGTGCTACGAGTCAGAGGCTTTGCAGACTCCGGCCGTAGATAAAGCTGTGAACGAGCTAAAATCCAGTCGGTATAATCTCAGGAAGCAAGTTCGCGATCCTCTTCCAGAGGCGGTCGAGGTTGCACGGAGCTTAAGAGAAGATACGAGCACAGCGAATGGGTTCTTGAACCAGCAGGGTCGGCCAGATCAACAGCAGCAGGAAGCTCATCCTGATGAGCCACCCCAGCCAAGTGGAAGTGGGAATCGACAGGAAGAGAGAGCTCAACTGGATGCAAACCTTACTTCGAAGCAGCAAGAGCAACAAGCACAAGCTCTTGGAAATGCGGCTGGCAAAGGGAAAATGAGCATGATGGAACGAAACCATACCGCTCGAACTCGTGAGGTAGGCATGTTTTCCATTTTTCTGACAGAGCTCACGGTGACTCTCCAGTGGAACGACGACGACGATGACATTGAGGAGGACACCTCCCCGTCGGCTTCTAGGCGCGTAAATCTTCCCAGTAGCAGCACAAAGGCACCCTCGCCTTTGCAAAAAATCGAACCAAAAGTCTCTTTGCTTCGGAGAAGGAAAATCAAGCGGTGGACGGCACGAGAGGAAGAAGCACTTCGGAAAGGAGTGGAAATGTAGTGTTTTTTGTTTATCTCCTTTTTCCTCCACTGAGCTTTTACGTTTGTTTGCAGCTTTGGGAAAGGTCGCTGGAAGGCCATCTTGCAGAGCAACCTGGACGTATTTGACAATAGGACTGAGGTAATTTTGGTGGGATTATGTTTTTTTCTCAGAGAAGTGATTGTTTTCAACAGGTTGATCTTAAAGATAAGTGGAGAAACATAGAAAAAGCTGAAGGAATCAAGAGAGATTGAGGGATAGTTTGAAAGCATGTACCAATTCTTGTAAAGTTCCAAGTTTTCATGGTATAAAGAGATTCCAAACCTTGAGTTCATCTAATGCTATATATATACAAAATCTGTCAGTGCATTTATATGCACAAAACATCATATGGCTCTTTTGTATTCTTGAGCCTGCTGAGATGGAGATAAGCTTGAGTCCCTGAAAAAAAAAGAATTTTTCTTAGAGTTTTAGAAAGCTTTTGACACGAGAATGTTATACCATAGCCTTCCATGGACGCAAGCTGCAAGTCTCCCCCAAAGTATCTAGCATACAAACGAGTGACTGGCAGTCCATAGCCATATCCAGCCATGGCATCGCTTGGTTGCTCAAGAAATCTGTTCTGGTCCAGCAGTGGAATCTCACCAGTGCTGTAGAAGTAACTCCAGACCTTTGGAAGCTCACTTCTGGGTATACCACCACCCTCGTCAGATATCTGTAAAACCAGGAGTTTGATGATCAAGTTTGCGGAGATTTGATCTGAGTTACCTTGATGGTTACGTCTTCGGTGCCACCAGCGACGATGACTTTCACGGGAGGAGTCTTGGAAGCTGTAGAGAAACGTTCCTGGACTGACCGTAAGGAATTCTTTAGCAGCTCAAAGACCATCCAATGCAAATGCGTCGGCACGTAGCTATAAAGGTGCAAGAGATAAGCGCGAGTCAAAACGAGGAAGAAAACAAAAAGGTTCTATCCTTACGCGAATTTCAAGCCGCTATCGCCAACGACGTGTACGTCTGGAGAGCGGCCGTAGATCCGCGAGCACATCGCCCGTGCATCGGACGCAGCATTGTGGATCACTTCCATGGGAGAAACTTGCGTGGAGACGAGGCCAATGTAGCCGGGAGGATTTTCCTGGTGGAGTGCTACATGCTGTCCTGCGAAGGAGAAACCATCCAAAGTTCTTACACAGAGTTCTCTTAGAACAATAGCCAAAGAACGCGTAAAGGAGACTACTTACCGATGAGCATGCGAATCCCAATCCGGGACAAGAAGAACCGGTTGAGGAACTGGTGAATTTCTGGAAGTTGCGTGGTTGATCCAAGCTCCGCCTTGAGTTCTTGGATGCCCAAGCCAAGCATTGGAATGACATGGTTGTGTCGTTCTTTCACGTCGTGAATTAGCTGCGTGAACTCGAGCTCGTCGCTGGGGGTCATGATCTCTGGAAATCCGTGAATTTCTTTGAAAGACTCCACGTACCAATCTCGAACCTGCCGCCGATCAGGAACATTTTCCATTCGGAGTTATTCACGAGAGGAAAAAACGCCATACACTTCAAAAAGAGAACTCCAAACCTTTAGAACTGGCGCCTTAGATGAGAGACCAAATGGAAGATTTTCCAGCTCCACGACCTTGTGCGAGAGCCTGACGGGCAGCTCCCTCCGCAAGAACTGCGCGGCGATGAGGAGATTCTTCTCCGTGGGGAATGCGCCGAAATCCATCATCAGCTTGAGATTGACACCGATCTGATGCTTGAAACTACACCTGTAGATGTCGTCATAGATGTTCCTAGCGATCTTGTCGGCGACCCGGCGTGTCGCGGCCATGGATCAAGCGATTGATCGCCCTAGCCTAGCAGCAAGCGAAAATAAGATCGATCATTGCGACGATCATTACGAAGGTGCGCGAACCTCCGCCGTCGATCAAAATACAGCATCGCAGCCTTGAGAAAAACTAGTGGTTTCAAAACAGTCCACCTGGCATTGTACACAGTTTTGAAGGAATAAGGGAGAAAAAGAGTTTCTTCTTAATTTTGCTAAGGAGTTGTGAATGAATATCATTTCTAGATAAGGGGCAGAACGTTTATGTGATCAGCAACAAGACTAGAGGGACCATGAGTGAACTTGCATTGCATATTTAGTAAGCACAATAATTTACCATGCTAATGAAATTGAAAGTGTTTTATTTCCTTAATTGGCCAGAAAAAGAAACTCAATACATGTAATACAAATACATTACGGCTGTGAAACAAACCTAATAAATATATGAGCGGTATATTGCTACTCCATCCGAGACCGAGAACAGACTCTAAAGATCAGTCACCTAGCCATTTGATGGAAAGCATCAAGTTTTAAAGCAGTGACAAACGAGGCAAAAACATTGTTGTTGTTAGTCGTCTTAACTTCCTTCACTTGAAGTACTGCTAAGTAGTCAAAGCATGGCGAGCTCGACTCTTGAAAGAAAGATAGAAAGGCCAAAGCTGTTGTTTTTGACGGGCTTGCCTTTCTATAGCGAGTCAGCTTGTTGCGCATCGGCTAGGTCCACTCTGCGAGTTAAAATAAATTATAGGGCAACATACCATTTGTGGCAATGCTATTTGCTATATGTTATCAACATTCTAACAAAAAAAGTCTTAAATCATGTTTGGGAAAAAAGAAACAGAAAAACAGGAAACGAAGCTTGCCTTCATATATTGAAAAGCAAATGGCAAAACAGATCTATTTAAGAATAATTACACGGATTTGTCAAACTCAGCACAAAACATTTTCATAGCGACATGGTGAGTGGGACCTTGCCATGATAAAGTCACAGACCTTGGCAGGTTTGTGGAAGTCCTCGAGATCATCGTAAACCACTCTGTCGGGAATATAGCGAACATGTATCATGCTACAAGAGAGCATGGCTTTGATCTGCTGCAAGCACTCTGCGATATCCCCGTTGAAGTTGGGACTGGAGCATGGTAATGGGTGGAAGTTCAGGGAGGTGATTGTGGCACATGCTGTAGTTTGGCTGTCAAAGATTTGCCACCGTGTAAATAAATCTTGGCCAACTCAGCCACTACCATGCCTTTTACACCTCCATCCTGAGTCCCAGGTGGAACACATCCATCACACCTCAAGCAGCAAAGGGCAGCTGCCACAAATGTTATACACCCTCTGCTCCAACCACGAGTCAGGAACTGTGGCACTAGCTGTTATGTGTTTGGCAACGAGGCTTGACAAAAATGCCTTGCCATTCTTTTCACTAAAGTGCCCCAACTTAATCAGCTTCCACTGCAGAACGTTTGTGTGACTCTGGAACTACTGTTCCAGAAAAAAGTCACCGGAGCTGGACATAATCACCACCATAGTCCGGTCCTGCTTTGTCATGGCTACAAACCATTCCAGGAGAGTAGCTACATCATTGTTGAACCACTGCTTCAACCTGTCAGCTTCATCGATGATGAAAATTGGCCTCCTGTGCTGGTTTTCAATCTCCAGGCTCATAAACCAGCCCATGACAGAGCCCAAGTCCTTCTCTGGCTCTTCGTCTGGCAGATGGAGAAAGCTCGATGCGTCAACGTCTACGCCCCTGAACGTCAGCCCCAATTGTCTTTAGAAGGGCCGATGACACGCCAAGGAGACAAGAAGCCCAAGTTCGCAGTCTTGCAATCTGTTTAGCAGCCAGCTCTGGGGTACTGAAGTCCGCAGCCCTCATGTCGATGTAGAAGAGCGGCAACTGGGCTTTGAGCAGACTTCCTAAGGTGCTTGAGACTTGCCAGAATTGTTTGGTCCTATCACTACAGCGATGCAGTTGAGGCCTATTTCAATCTGATTGTACCGGACAAACTCATAAAATGATCTAACAAGTGATCGTGGCACAGTGGCGCAGTTACAGCTCGTGCAGTGAGAGCAGATTGGTCATTTCTTTGCACCTGTCAAAGAAACCGTCATCGACGTCATCGCCATGTTAATAATTCGTGCATAATGTTTGGTTTAACATTTGAGGGTGGGGTTGCTCCCTCTGCTCGCTGGGGAGTGATACCAGGTGCGCGCTCCGCTCTCGTTTGAAGATTTCTAGTGCTTTAATTTAGAAATCTCAGGTGGAGTACAATGTTGTGACAGAAAGCAGCAGTATGGATTTGGAGGCTGTTCTGGGATATTGGCTTTCCACATTACATCCATGTGATTAGACCTTAAAACCAAAGGCAAGCTTGTATAAATAAGGGTTTTTTAGGCTTAACATGTTTCACAATGTTCTGATTGTTGTTTCCTTTCTCGTTCAAGTAGCAGCAAAGTTTGTACGTGTTAAGTGCCAATTCGCTGTCACAGGACCTCCATGTGGTCCAAAAACCTGGCAATTGGTATTGTGTTTCTCATGTGCCTAGGATGTTGGCCACGGATCCATCCCATGAGATCTGTGTGTCTCTGAGCTCCGGGTATCCTGGACATTCTTGCACTACATATTTGACCGTTTCCACGGACATGCTGCACACTGGACAAAGTCGGAGGTGGTGATGAGTAGGCAGTGAGCTCCCACCCTGTACCGCACTAGAATGCGTTGCCTCGCAGGGGAGAGCTAATCATAAAGTGCTGATCTGACCTGTTCTTGTGGATTGATCTCCTGGGGTCATATTTTGTGTGGGCTTCCTGGACCTTGATCCATTTTACAAGTGCAATGTATGACCAGTCCATGTGAGGATCTTGGGTAGAATGCACATTACAGCACCCCTTTTATTTAGGGTGGGTCCCATTTTCTTATTTGGATTTGCATGCCACCTCATTGTTTACATACGCATGGCACGTCATTACTATAAATTAAAGATTGTTCTAGTATATTATTTTTAATTATTTTTAAGTATTTAAAAGTACAAAATCAAATATACTATCTATTCTACTCAAACAGTATTATCTTGATTGTATAGCTTAATATGACTATATAGAATATTAAATGCATTTTTCTTTCTTTCAATATATATTTTTCGCCAAATATATTCTTGAAAGTAAGAACTATATAATCCTTTTGTTGTACTATAGTGAGGAAGAGATCTTTTCACCGCATCAATCAATATTTCATTGGTTGATGATATCTTTCACATTCTCTCTCTTCTGGAAGAAGATTAACTGTAATACAAAAAGTAAAAGAATTTACTTTACTATTAGTTTTCTCAATAAGATCAGAAAAAGAAAAAATACTATCTTGAGTATGATCTACATATTTCAATTTAGCCATAATACTAAAAAAAAGAAAATAAGAAAGAAAATATAAAACACAATGAGGAAAAACCTAAACCAAGCATAGGTTATATACTTATAAATTATAGCCGTTCATTCACTGGCTAATTATAAAATTATAGTCATTAATATATCTCTTAACAACAACTAATTTAGAGTTAGTCATTAAACATTTAGGGCACAGTGCCTCCAATGGCTGGTGGTTTAACATGAAGTGGTGGACTGCTAAACTTGAAATGAACCTTGAGATCCTCAGGAGAAATGCATAATATAGCACCCAGTTGCCCCTTTGCCACACTCACTCCTCGCTTCCTCCATGGCATGCTTGTGTGTCTAAATTGGACTTGGCAATGGTCTACAAGTTATTAGTTTTCAGATGTGGGGGATTGTCCTTTGCTAGAACAAGCCTTTCTCCATGATCATGATTCCATATAGTACCAGGTTAAAACTATATTGCACCATTTCCATTTTGTCCTATTCCTTTTCATGTCTGTGAGACATAAAATCCCTAGGCCCTAAAGTGGAGCCGGAGGGGCGCCACGTGGTAGTGGCCGAAGCGAAAGCCAAACGAGTGTAACATGTTTGGACTAAAAGCTCTGCCTTGAAAGGTCGAGAGCGGGAGTGGAACCCCTAACAAAGTGCTTGAGGAATGAGCACGAAGCGAGCCATAAGCAAGGCTCCAAAAAGGGACCCAAAAAAAGGACTAACACATGACACATGGAAGTGTCCGAGATGGACCTGAGTTGAAGTCCGAAGTGGAGTCCGAGAAGGACCCCGAGATGGAGTCCGAGGTGGAGTCTGAGATGGACCCAAGATGGACCCGAGATGGAGTCCGAGATGGACCCGAGATGGAGTCTGAGATGGAGTTCGAGATGGACCCGAAATGGAGTCCGATATGGACCCAAGATGGAGTCCGAGATGGAGTCTAAGATAGACCCGAGATGGAGTCCGAGATGGACCCGAGATGGACCCGAGATGGAGTCCGAGATGGAGTCCGAGATGGACCCGAGATGGAGTCCGAAGTCGAGACCGAGACCGGGACCAAGACCGGGACCGAGACCGAGACCGAGATTGGGACCGAGACCAAGACCGAGGCCGAGGCCGAGACTGAGCCCGAGCCCGAGTCCGAGTCCGAGTCTGAGTCCGAGTCCGAGTCCGAGTCCGAGTCCGAGTCCAAGTCCGAGTCCGAGTCCAAGTTCGAGTCTGAGAGGGTGAAAGCCCAAAGCGTTCGTCTCCCAGACCCTGGGGGGTTTGGTGAGCTCCAAAAGTATAGTAAGGGGGAGGACTGCAGTGGAGCCAGTTTGGCCCAGGAAGGCCGGACCCAATGTTGGGTGATGAGCTGCCCACTGGGAAGTCCAAAACTAGAATGAACACGGACCGACAAGCAGGGTAGTTTGGTGAAGTGTTCAAGAGCTGGCTCTAGTTCCCCCGGGAGATCAATTAGCCGATGCTCCCAGTCCAAGCACTACCTACTTGGATACTTGTCGTGGCTCAACGGAACCTTGCTCTAAGCCCATGGCTAGAGCACCTAAAGGCGAAAGGTGGGGAGAGTACCCATGAGGCTTGCGTAAGGCCACGGTGTTCCGAAATGTTGTCCCAAAGTCCCAAACGGTGAAAGGGAAGAGGAGTAGGCCTCTAATGCAGTGACCAAGGATACGGTCACATGGTGAGGAAGTC